GCATTGATTTTATATCCTGCCACTTTACTGAATTCCTGTATGAGTTCTAGCAGTTTTGGGGTGGAGTCTTTTGGGTTTTCCACATAAAGTATCTTTTTTTTTTTTTTTCTAACTGGCTGCTTGGAGTTTATTTTCCACTTCATGCAAGGCATATGGTTACAGGTGTCAGGAAGGCTTGTGTGTGGCTTGGATAATAAAGAGGGGTTCTCCCAACTTCCTTTTTGGTGTTTTGCTGTTTTGTTATAAAAGAACCCAACTGCTTCTGCTTGCTGTGGCCTGCCTAGTCTATGGGGAGGGGTGGGGCTCTGATAAGCCTAGCACCTCCTGAAGCCTGGTAGCTGGTGATGGCCACTCAAGACTGGGGCTGGGTGTTGGCTTTGACAGGCTGGCCACCAGGCTGCTTCCAGAGCCAAGTCACAGGTGATCGTGTTGCTGGAGGCCTGGGAGATTCCAAGCAATCTGGGGACTCCAACACTGTAGCCAGGAATGGGAAAATGGACTTCCCAAAAAAGAAGTTTGCCCACCAGTGACCCGGGTTGGCCCTGCGGAGACTGGGGTGGTGAGGGATGGCTTCCCCAGGATACTCTGCACTTCCGCAGAAGCTGTTACTGGAAGTGGAACCTGGGCGGTGTGGGTAATAGTGTGGGTGGCCATAAGCAAGCCACTGGAGGGGATGGCTGCCATACTGTTGTTTTGGGGCTTGTGGGAACCTCTGCACGAACCCTCACAGGCCTAGGTGTATGGAACCCTAGGTCACGGAGCCCACTTGCAGAGGAGACTGCGGAAGGCTGCTCCATGACTGAGGTGGGGCACCAGGTGTAAATCCAGATCTTTCATAATGGAACTTGTTTTCTGTGTAATTCCTAATAACTTCAAAACAAAACCAAAACTCTAACATGGTATTTTAATTGGCTTACAGTATAAGTAACAAAGTGCTATGGGGATTAAGGTGAGGGAAGAAGCAATTCTGCCTTAAGTTCAGAGGGCAGAGGTGGAGTTTGGGCAGGTTCACCATTTCTTGAGCACCTATTAAGTGCCAGGTATATCTGAGGCTTTAAGGATCCCAAGAAGGGCAACATGTGGAGATGGTCTGGGGGGGGCCTCTCTGTTCCTGTGGGATGGCTAGCACCATTCCCCACTCTTCTATTCCAGGAATTCAATTTCCCCTTTAGGATTACAAGCCCACTTTGTTCCCTTGATGGAATAATGACTAGGGTGCTCTGGCCAGAGGGTAGACCTGGGACAGAGAGGGAGAGAATCTCAAGCAGACTACATGCTGAGCCCAATGTGGGACTTGATCTCATGACCCTGAGATCATGACCTGGGCTGAAACCAAGAGTCTGACTCTCAACTGACCGAGACACCCAGGTGCCCCTCTCTCCTGGGAAATTTTATCTTGAGATAAGTAACACAAGAAATAAGAATGACTGGATCATCATCACAAAACATATGACAGGAAAAGATTCCCCAGGAGTTCCTGCTCCCTGGACCCCCAGAGCTCATCCTTACCCAGGTCTTAAACTTCCAAAGGCTGGCCCTTCACCCCTTCCATTTCAGGAGCCACTCCACATACTTCATAGATTCCTGTTTTGATGATGTTAGTCAGAGCCAGCTTCCCTTGCTTGCAACCAAAGGATCCTGCTCAGAGGATAGATAGGCACACCTCATTTTATCGTGCTTCCCCTTAATGCACTTTGCAGATATTGTAGGGGTTTTTTTTTGTAACAAACTAAAGGTTTACAGAAAGTCTTTGGAGGTCTGCAATTGAAGGTATGAAGCAAGTCTATTGGCACCATTTCTCCAACAGTATTTGCTCACTTTGTGTCTGTGTCACATTTGGTAAATCTTGAAATATTTCAAACTTTTTCATTATTATTTGTTATGGTGATCTGTGATTACTACTTGTTGAAAGCTCAGATGATCGTTAGTATTTTTTAGCAATAAAGTATTTTTTTAAGGTAGGTACTTTTTTTTTTTTTAAGTAGGCTCCATGCCTTGTGGAGCTCAACACAGCGCTTGAACTCATGACCCTGAGATCAAGACCTGAGATGAAATCAAGCCCTGAGCTGAGATCAAGAGTCAGATGCTTAACCGACTGAACCACCCAGGTGCCCTGTGGTATATACATTTTCTTTAGACATAATGCTACTGCACACTTAATAGGCTACTGTAAAAACATAACTTTTATATGCACTGAGAAACTAAAAAATTCATTTGACTTGCTCTGTTGTAGTGGTCTGGAACTTAACCTGTAATAACTCTGAGGTATGTCTGTAGCCACCTGCAGAAGTGTGCTAAAAGAATGGCAGGTGGGTGTGATTTGGTAGCTCTCTCCCTGACCCCTTTCCCAGTGTGTTCACAGTCCTTACCATGGGGATGGTACCATGGCATGGCTCTTTAGAAAGGCTGACAGATCACAGCGAGAATCCACCTTCTCAGCCATAAAGTCACATTTTCAGCCTCATCTGGGTGCCATAATAACTTTTAAGGAACATGCTTTGGGGAAAGCTATCAATCCTGGCCCTAGTTATAACTTCAACTAGGCCACCAACATTGTTGCTGTACTCTGGTACACCGAGATCTTTATGAAACCTTTGCTGACATTTAAGACCTTCTCCTGGCTTCCTTTATGACACTACAGTAGCCTGTACTGCCCACTAAGACAGACTTATCATACCACATTGTCATTATTTGTCTAACTTTGATAGTAGCTGTGAACTTTTTGAGGTCAGAGTATAAGGGTCTAGCATAGTGCACTGCACTAAATGTTTTTAGAACAAACCAAACCACAACCAAATATACATTATACATAAAGTCAGGTAAGATTATAGGTAAAGATCATGTGAACCAACTCCTTTAAAAATAAAAAGACAAGAGAACCAATGAGGAGATACATACCCCCCCCACAAAAACCCCCAGTTCATACTCCGAAAGATAACTTATCTGAGATCATTTAGTGGCAGGTCAGGGCCTAGAATCTGGCCCACTGACATCCAGGACAGTGTTCTCTGCACCAGTGTGAAACCATCCCATTCTTCCCCCATCAGCATAACCCTGCCACATAAGGAACACATCCAAGTCTTTGCAACTGTTTTCATGCTGTCTCTCCCACGTAAATTACTCAATCCAGTCCACTGTCAGCTTAGGTTTCAGGGCAAAGTTTATTTGAAGAAATTAAGTAAACTGTCACAATCTCCCCATTCCAATATCTACTTTTCTATCTGTCAACAAAGGGCCTATCATGTGAGTGGGATGGAAAGGAAGGGGGTGTGGTCCTACTGTGCAGATACTCTTCAGCCTTCTGTTACGTGCTGTCTCAGCCTCTGACAACAGCCACTTGTTCAACAGTGGTGCTACCCTGAGAGCATTTTAGGTCAGTGGCCATCTCCTGAGTTCACTGGTCACATTCCAATCACTGTGATCAGTATATGGGTGATCAGTGGTGGACAAAGATAAACAAGAGGCACAGGCTGTCGAGGGAATATCCTCTGTTAAAAAGAGGGTTCTAAGAATGACACATGGAATGTTCAATTTGTTAAAGTGCTTAACTACAAAATTAAAAACAGAAGTGTTGGGAAGGTGCAGAGCAAATTATGATCTGAGAGGCTTCTGGAAAGACCGAACAAAAGAAAGTACTCTTTCTTTTTTAAGAGTACTTAAAAAGAACTCTGCCTAAATCATTTCAGCAATGACAAGGGAGAGGAGAACCTTATTAGTTTCTGAATTATTAGACCTTGGAATCAAACATCCCTACATGGACACCAGCTCCTTTAACACCTCATGGAGACCAAATGAAACATTTTTACATCTTTTTGCTGTAACTTTTCTCTCACCAAACAAACTTCTAATCTGAAATCTGGTTTCCTTTATGAAAGGTCTATTATGGGCAAGTGATCAATTTATGTACGCCCTGTAAACCACCTTCCTATGGGGTGGTTTGCAAAAACCTGGAGATGAGAAATCTGAGTTCCCAAATCTGCCAGGTTGATGCCTACACTTAAGAACAAGATATCCAGAATATATAGATTTTCTTGGCATGATTACAAGATCCAGAAGAGGGGTGTGACGGTTGTGAGGGCAAAGTATCCATCAGCAGCAGTGGCTCTCTTATCCTAGAAATTAGTGTACGGCCTCAGCAGTCAGTTGTAAGTCCAGTGAGCAGTGGCCCAACCCTGGCCCTTGCATAGGTCCCGATGGCGAAGGAAACAGGCATGGACTCGGAACCGACGGCCACAATGGGGGCAGGCATGCAGGGCTCCAGCATGGGTCTTCATATGTTCTGTCAGATGGTGCTTCAGCTTGAAGCGCTTATTGCAGATGCCACAGCCAAAGGGCCGAAGGCTGAAGGTCAGCATGATGTGCCGGTCACGCTTTGGCTTCACTGCAAACCGCTTCCCACACAAGCAACCAAAGCGTTTTCCATCGGCAGGGGGTGTACCTCCTAACTTGACAGGCCCATGCACAGCCTGTCCTGCCCCCCCCGGTCCCCCACCCCCTGACAGGATTTCATTCCCATGAAGATCCACTGGTTTCCAGGATGGACCTCCTCCTCCTCCTCCATATGCTGCCCCCGCTCCTGAGGGCAGCGAGAACCCTAGCTCTCCATTCCCTTCAGTGTCCCCTCCAGGAAACACTTTGGTCTCCTCCTTTGTTCCTCCAGACTGAGTTCCACCTCCTGATATCTCTTCTTTAGGCTCAGAGGGTTCCTGCTTAATGTAGAAGACTTTGGGGGGCAGTGCAGTATGAGGGGTAGGTGGCTCAAGTGGTGCACTCTCACCCTCTGAAACCCTGCGGGGAGTAGTGGATATAGGTAGTGGGTGTGATCCATGAGGACAGGGAAAAGCCCCTGATACTCTCTGAGGCTGAGGTGTCTGAGAGGGTGCTGCTGACCCCTGGTCCTCCTCCTCATCTTCTTCTTCTTCCTCCTCCTCCTCCTCCTCTTCTTCAACTTGAATTTGTAACACATCTCCCAGTTCACTCCCCTCCCCTAAAACGGGGCTCTCAGCAGAGGTGGAAGACTGCACTGGGGTCTGGAAAGGGGAAGAGCGAATGCACCAGCCTCCTGGAGAGGATGTGGTGGAAAGAAGTGTGTGGTAAGAGGTGGCCCCACGGGTTGAAATTCCACCACCTGAGGTTTCTAGTTCTCTAAGAATCTCTGAGCACTGATCTACTACTTGCCACATCTGGAGGCCACTGGCCACAAGGAGGTGGGCAGGGAGAGCATCCAGTGGCAGACGGAGGCGCCCTGAATAAATGAGCTGCAACAGCCCCTCGAAGGCATCGGCTTCAATGACGCTGGGCAGAGTGAGACGCGGCGCATCCCCCAGAAGAAGTTTGTCATGGAAGTAAGGAGAGGCAGCAGCCAACACTGCTTTGTGCGCCCTAAGTTCCCGGCCCTGCACCAAGAGGGACACATCACAGAACTTTCCCTCTAGCCTGTGGCGGTTCAGGGCTTCCAGCAGCACTGAGCTGTGCTGCGGGAACTCGATCTGGATTGTCCGTGGGGCGGGGTTGCAGGTCGGGGAGGGGGGAACGGGGGGCATGGGCGTCGAGGTATCCATATGGCCGCCTCAGAAAGAGGGATCCCAGAGGATCAAATACAGGAGATGAGGGGCTGGGGGCGGACCCCCCGCGGGATGAAGGCTGTGGAGGAAAGAGACGGGGGTCACAGAAGCTCTGGATCAGGGCAACCACGTCTCCTCACACAACACCCGCCTCCCCAACCGAACCCGGGGAAACTTTTCAGTCAGTGGTGGTTTCCGCAGATCAGTCCCGCGCACTCCCCCACCAAGAAAAGAAAAACTAAACGACCACAACAAAAGACCAACCGGCGTTTCACTTCCAGGGCCTGTGGAGGAAGCTGAGGAGGTCCTTCCAGCCACGCGCCTGACCTCGCCGGCCCCGGACGGCTCCCGCCCGCCGCTCCACTCCTTCTCACGGTGCCCAGAGGGCCCGATTCCGGGGAAGCCGCGGCCGCCGGGAGACCGTGGGCGCCAGCAGGGAGACCCTTCCCGCCGCCACGCCCCCGCCGGTACACAAGCGGCACGGGGCCGGAGCGCGTCCGCGGACACCGCTCAGTCCCGGGCCGGAAGCCACCGCCTTCCCACCGGACGCCAACGCCAGGTACGGTGGGCGGTGCCAGAGCCGCAGCCAATCGGAAGGCGGTGGCCTACAAGCCTCGTGTTGATTGGTTGCGCGGGCGAGAAGGCGGTGCTGGCAGGAGGTGTCTGACCCCCGCGCGGCGGCGGACGGGGTGGCGGCGCCTGTGGGAGGACGGCGATCCAGGGCTCGAGAGACCATAGCCCGGAAGGAGGGGGCGACCCGTAAGCCCTGCGGGTGATTAAATATAGCGCCCGCCCCCTGCTGGGTGCTGTGAAGGCGAGGTTAAGTGGGCACCTGTTGTGTGGGCCAGCCGTTGTCCACATCACCTTGTTTCCAACCCCAGCCCTGCAAGGTAGGTGTTGCTGTGCTGTTTCCTGGGGGAAACCGAAGCTGGCAAGTGACGGGCCTGAGATTAGAACTCAAGATTTGCTGAGGAGCCAAGTTCTTTCCTCCATTCCCTACGGGAGCATTTTACCCAGCAATTAAATAAACCTTATTTCTGGGTAATTACTAAATATGTTTTTTATGTGTGTCTGCAGATATACACTTGTAATTTTTTATCAGATAATGTTCCTGTTCCCTGGCCTCTTTACTCATTCGGATTAAGGGGAGCAGTGGTGAGGGGAGAGCGAGATTGGGTAAGCCTGGCCAGTGCACAACCCCTGCTCAAAAACAGAATAAATCTCGTCTCTGGGTGGGAGAATGATACTCTGGAGGAGACTCTGGCATCATGCAGGGATATAGTTTCTCCCAGGCTGTCAGCTTCCTGTCAAAAAGCAGGACCCTGCTTGTCCCCCTGGAGGTCCCAGCTTAGGAAAGTCAGCACAGCGATAAAAGAACAATCTCCGTTTATTAAACATGATTTTTCTGTTTCACCACACACTCCAGAAAAAAAGGAAATGGGGCTGGGAGTGGAGAAAAAGGGATAGTGGTGGAGGACAGAGAAGGCCGGGAGTGGGTTGGGATAGGGTAGGGAGGGATAACGAGAAAACAAAATAAAACAGGTAGGAAGAGCATCTCCCTACCCTTAGGGTGGTGGAGGGGGAGGGAAGCGTGGGGGGGGAGGGGGCCAGGAAGCTCTGTACAGAGGGGTTGCCCCCAGCCCACACACACACACCCCCGATATGTACAGTACAAACCCCAGATAATTACAACAGCCAAAGAGAGGAGGAAAGGGGGTCCAGGGGTAGGGTCTGAGGTTGGGAAAGCAAGGAAAGGGCACAGGGATAAAATTTCACATATTTACAACTTTTATATAAGTATAAATTTGGCCCCGGCTGGGTGTATGTGTGTAGGGGGATGGGACTGAAGAGGGACTGTCCATACAAAAGAAAGAAGGGTGAAGTCTGGAAAGAGTCTCAATACCAAACGCAAGAAGGGATGAGGGGGCAAGGCTGGGTAGGGGACAGCAGTCAGGGAAAAGGGGGTGCCAAGGAGGGGCTTCTCCCCTCCCATGACCTACCCACCCTAAACCCCATCCATCCTACCTCCCCTATCCCGCCAGAGAGCTATGTACAGAGAAACACCGAAAAATTGTGGAGCTGGCGGGAGGGAGGGAGGTGGAGGGAGATTGGGGAGGGGGGAGGATGAGAGGGAAGCCCAGCCCTGTCCTACCTCCCCTGGGGGGACAGAGTCATGGAAGGGGGCCCCCAACACCCCTCCTCCAACACAGGTCCCCCCACCCTGGGGGAGAGAGACATGGCTTTTCCTAGAGTAAGTTCCCCCCTCCCCCTGGGAGTAGAGACCAAGAAGAGAGAGGGGAGGGGCGAAGGGGACTGTGTGTGTCAGGGTAGGGCAGATCAACTAGTCTGTCCTCCCTAACACACACACCCTCCTAGACCCTAACCCCTCACCCTAACCTCAATTCCACCCCACCCAACACACTGGGGGAGGGGGGGGCATAAGCCCCCTCACCCCGCTCTGGGACCAGCCAAGAGCAGATCAGGTGTGGGAGGAAGGGGAGACGACTCCCGTTCCCCCCTTGCCGCCCCCTCCCTGCCCCGGTGGCCCCTCCACCCCATCTGGGTTCTGGGTGGGGAGGGAGTAAATTTAAGAGTAATAGGAGAAGGAGTTTGTGCGTGCTGAGCCCCCCCAGACGCTCCTGAGAAATCAAGGGGTAACAGGGCCCCCTCACCTGGGGTCCCCTCCCCATAACAAGGGGGACAGGGGAGGTCAAAATGGGGCGGTGGAGGGGAGTTAGATTGTCAGCTCTGGTTACTGCTAAAAAATCACCCTGAAGTTGAAAGTTTGGAGGTGCCACACCCCCAGGGTGGGGGTGAGGGTCTGTCCCCCAGTGCTCAGGGGAACGATGAGGCAGAGGATGGGGATAGCACCCCAGAGTGAAGGGGTCTGTGTGGGGTAGGTGGTGTCCTGGGGCAAGGGTCCCTGGGGGCCACAGGGGGCAGCACCCCAACAGGAAGGAAAAGGGGACAGCTAAGGGTCCGCACTCTTCCCCCCTGGAAATGGTGCAGTGGGGATGGGGGATTGGTGCCCCCCAAGGAGGCATTCAGGGAGGCAATCCCGCTGTCCCTCGGCGACATCCAGTCCTGGTGGTGGGTGCTATTCCAGGGTGGGGTGCATGGGGAGGGAGAAGGTCTGTGAGGCTGGGTGGGCTAGTGGTCTGCGGTGTTTCGGAACTCGCCGTTCTCGGTGATCTGCAGCCGGGGTGGGGGGGGCGGTGCTGGGGGGGCCAGGCCGTTCCAAGGTGGGGCCAGCGTCACACGCGGGTTTGTTGGACCCAAGGGGGGAAGCTGCCTCTCCTGCAAGACACCAAAGAGGAGAGCGCGGACTTATTGAGACGCTTCGCGGGGGCCTGGGTGTTAGCCCCCTTAGCCATGGGCCCCCCACCATAACCAGCCCACTCCATAAACCATGTCCCCCTCCCTGCCCCCAGGACAACCCCCCACCCCCATCCTCCTATTTTTTTCTCACCTGCAGTAGAAGTTACATCTTCTGGGATCAGGGAGAAGAGAATCTCATCCCCTGACTCCTAACGGGCCTTCAACCCAGGGAGTCATACCAGGAAACCAGTTCAAAAGAAACAAGTTCCTATCTCACCCCCGGCCTAACCCCCTGTACCTTCCCCTACCCAGCCTCCCTCCTCCTCATGGAACCCCCTCCCAGCCCACCCCCAGTCCGAGGTAGGAACTTTGTGTTGAGGGAACAAGGGGAGGCAGTACAGCAAAACCTCATTAATCCAAACCCCCATGGATTTGGACTTTTTTCATAATTTGAACAAAAACTGGGCTTGCGCTTTCCTTTAGCTCTGAAGAAAGGGTGTGCTAAGCAAATTAATAGTGGAAACGTGTCTGTAGGAGGGTACCAGCCAACAGACTTTGGAATCCTATCTATTCATTAACACGTGCTCCCTGAGGGCCTCCAGTGGAAAAGCCTTGTTCATCGAGTCCTACTTACTGTATGTATTTTGAAGACATGCATTTCATTAAATAGACACTGCCGTTCAGTTTTGTCACTTGTTCAGAGTGGTCATCTTCTCGAATATAACTTTCCAAATTCGAGAGGTTTAACTGTACTGGGGCGTGGGGGGCGAGAGATTCAGGGAAGTGATGGGGGACGGTAAAAACACTGGGGGAGGGCTGCCTCTCTCGTGCTAAGGGCAGAAATGACTAGGAGTGTCTGCAGAGGCACAGCATGGCCCCATCTCTGTGTCCCCAGGAAGCAGAACTGCTTCATTCCTTTCCACCCCCATGTTCCTTTCAATCCCTCTCCTTGGGATCCCTGTTAGATGGAGAGGGGTACCAGACCCTACTCCCACCCCTGGACCAGCTAGCTCCTGCCTCCTGCCCTCAACTCTGGCTTCTGTTCCTCTGCTGGGAGAGAAGGAAGCCACCTGTACTACACTTCTGGTCGCTCACTTGGTTTTTTAAAATACAGGCACAAAATTAATTTTTAAGCCAATGAATGACTGCATTGCGGAGGAACCAATACCTAAAAGTGATTTAGAAAGTGTCCAAATTATTTCTCAGGCCACGGGGCATTTGGGCCCATTATGTGTAACCGTATCTCTGTGGGATACAAAAACATTCCAAGTAGAGGCTCCCGGATCAGTTCTCCCTTCCAAATCGAAGAGCTCACCTCTCAGAAGGTCACCAAAGCCCCAGCCTTAAGCAAAGCCTCCCCCTTAGCTTGCTGAGCATCTCGCACACTCTCCCCAAGTCAGTGAGAGAGAGGAAATTACGTATGGTAGGGGATCCTGAGTACGGCAGGAGAGCAGGGGACGGGAACCTCAGATTCCCTCCTCTCTGCTTGTCTGCTGGCAACAGAACATAGGCATGCCCCCTACACCCCCATGGACCCAAATTTAGAAAGTAGATAAATGAGGGTACCATCATTCATTTCACAAAAGAATTCACTGCAGGAGTCCTTTAAATGGTGAGGTCCCCTGGTGCCTTTTAGCATCTGTTTACAGATCACGAACTACTTTGACAGAGAGGCTGGGCAAGCAGAGAGTTAAAATTACAGTGTGAGGAGCCACTGCCCACTGCAGATCAGTCCCACAGAAAAGAGAGCACCTCAGAAATGATGTCAGTGGCTGACAGGTTCCCATTTACTGGTTTTGGGGTAGGACTGTGCGTCCGGCAAGGCCACTGGGTGGCAGGAGAGGGGGAGTGAGCTCTGACAAGAAGAATAGAGAGATTATTTAACATGCTGTTCCTGGCATCTCTGCCTGGGAATCCACATGGCTACTGAGCCCATGATCTTATCTAGGAAGACAGCTCACCCCACTTCCAACTCCCACGCCACATGGGCCAGTCTGCATCCTAACATCTGTCAAGGCTCTTTTTTTTGTTTCTTCTTGTTCCACTCACCCTGCCTAATGTCCTGACATCCTGAACAGCACTCTTTCCAGTGCCCCTTCCCAAAGTCTTCCTGAGTTAGCTTACCCATAATTCCCACCCAGTGGGGCCCAACAGGAGCTGCAGATGCCTTCTACTTCAGATGTAAGGGAAGAGGAAGAGAGGAACAGGTGAGGGGTGGAAGGAGGCGTGGAGAACCAAGGTTAGGGAAGGAAGAGGAAAGCCCCACCTACCTGCTGCAGTCAGCACAGTCCCTCTAGCCAGGGTCCCCCAACCCATCGTCATGGCCACCCCTTAACAAGGCCCACCCCCAACGTCCCAACTCCCAAGGACGCTCTGGTGAAATGGGGGGTGACAGACATACACTGGAGAGGCAGAGGAAGAGGACTGAGAGGAGGCTGGGCAGTGGGGTCTATCGAAGGAGATGTAAGGGCGTGCTGCGCCTGTCCAGGGTAAAATGCTTGGTGTTGGCAGGGTGTCACTGAACGGTTCCGGGAGCAGCAGGAAGTGCTCTCTCTGGGCAGCGGCTTGGAAATGGGTCTGTGCAGGAGGTGTCAGGAGGGTAAGGTCTGTGGAGGTTCTTGGGTGTGGAGAGCAGCAATGGGGGTGGGGGGCGGTGGGGAGAGGCTCCAGAGAGTCGGAGGGGAGTGGGCTTCACGACCAACCTGCAGTGGTCCGGAGTCACCTCCCCCTGTGTCCTCCGCCCGTAGTCAAAGCGGAACCAGGAGAATTACCTGATGAGGAGCTGCAGGGGGAGAGAGTGGGGTCATGGGGTCAGGAGCCTTAGCAGTAGTGGTGGGGAAGCCTGGCGGTCAGAGCAGAGGAAGGAGGAGCGTGGGTGGGAAAGTGAGCAGAACTGGGGAGAGCAAGGTGTAAGGGTGCAGGAGGGAGGTCTCAAAAGCTGGCTGAGAAGAGAGGGAGGGCAGCAGGGAGCTGGAGAGCTGGACAGGTGTGAAGAACAGAGGGACAGGCCAGAGGCCTTCACTGGATTTAAATACTGAGGGAAGGAGAGTTTATGGGGTGGGAGGGGCCTTCAAGAGCTAAAGAGTCAGAAGAGGAAGCTATTCAGAAGCTGCCCAGGAAACAGGAAAATTGGGAAGCCAAGAGAATGGAGGTGATGGGGGCCATCCAGAGCCTGAGAAGCTAGAGCTCATACTCTGTTCCAGCAAACTACAGCCTCTAGCCCTTCTGGCTCAAGGAGAGCTCAGAGGAAGCTGAACTCCCTGATGTGAACAGGAGCAGGCACGAGATGGGCCAGGGGTGCCGGGAACTGGGTGGGGTCCGGGGGCAGAGAGACTGAGGTTCTGGTGGATGTTCCAAGGCCCAGACAGGAGTGGGAAGGACAGGGCAGGAAGGCACAGGGGTGGGGCTGACACTGCCAGGAGTGACAAAGGCACAGACGATGGGATGAAGATGGGGGTCACTGGGGGGGCTGCCAGGAGCAGCCGGCGGACAAACGGAGGACAGTGGGAGACAGATGGAGATGGGGCTGGGTGGCTGGTGCAGTGAGTGCACGAAGGACAGTGGGATGGATGGGGATGGGACACGGAGAAGATAAATGACATTGTAATTTCCACCTGAGCGTCGAGCAGCCTCTTCTTGGGTTCGGGCAGCGGCTCAGGCATGGCGGGGTGGTCCCGGCGCAGCTCCTCCTCCACCAGCATCAGCCTGAAGGGACGGGCTTCAGTGGGGTTAGTGGCGGGCACGGGCTTGGAGACTGCCAGTGGAACTCCTGACCCTGGGGAACCCCTGTAGCTCTCTGGAAAAGCCTCAGGCGTCCTTCTCCTCTGCCCTCAGAATCCTTCCATTGTTAAAACCCAAAAGACTCCCTGTGTTAACCTTCCTCTCAGGGACCCTCACATTTCCCTGCTAAGGACCACTTTCTGGGCCTCAAAGACCTCTACCACCCAGACACCCCCTAAGCCCTACATCTTCCCATTCAGGGCAGTGCCCTCCCACAGCCCCTCTGTGGCTGAAGGCCTGGCTTCCACGTCCCACTCTACCTGACTGAACCTAGGATACCTCCAGTGCCTCCAGTGGGATGCCCCCTATAGCCCAAGAGGGGTCTCTACAGTCATCATTCCCACCACGTCCCTGCCTCTGATGAAAATTCTCAAGGCGATTTCTCAGCAAGGATATCCATTAGAGCAGGGTTTCAAAATAAGTTTCAAGTCAAGCCTTTTTCTTCTAATTAATCTTACTCAGAGCTACATTCAGAGTGGACCAAAACGGGACTGGCTCTGGTTAGAGTGGGGCCTGGGGTCCCATCCACTTCTCAGGACAGCTGACCCCCTTGCTGAGACACCTTCTTTGGAGGCCAAGGCTTGGCAGAGCAGTTGAAAATGTTCACACGCTAAAAGAAGGGTCATTCACTTTCTAACAGAACATCTTTTGAGGGCTGGAGAGGGTTTACTGAGGATAGGGATGGCCAGGGGCTACTCTGGCTAGGGAATCTCTGCTTGAGTTTGGGGAGAACATCACAGGCTGGACTGAGAATAACCGGTGGGGAGTCCCAGCGTAGGCTGGGGCCAGACACATAGTGACAGACAGTAACAGGCACATTTTCCAAGGGCTTCAGAAGTTACTCTATCAGGAGAGAACATTTATGCACTAAGCAAGAAGTTTCTCCCCACTTGGTGACTGGTGAGTGAGTGGCAATCTCTGGGAGCAGGGTCGTGGGCTTTCCTCATGGTGTCCTGAGTTTGGGGCTGGAGGCTGGAGGGGAAGCTCACTGGCTCTCTTCAGCCTCAGGCTCTCCCTTGCTACCCCTCCCCAGGCCGCCCCTCACCTGCCAATGATGCTTTTGATCTGCGAATCCTTCTCCACCTGTTGCTGCCTTAGCCTCTTCTCACTCTGCTCCAGTCGGGCCTGATACTGCATCAAGATTTTGCTGGTCTGCTCTTCCTGGGACAGCAGCCTCCGCTCATACTCTTCTAGCTTCCGGTTGGACATGTGCAGCCGCTCCTTCAGTGAGTGGATCTCCTCCTCATACTCCTTCACCTGCCCGCCGGGCACACGACCCCGCACTGTGAGGGGTGCCTCACCCCAGCCGCACCACCCAGTCTCTGTCCTTGACTACCATGCAGCCACTGCATGGTGAGGGACATCCCAACTGCCTTCTGCAGCCCTTTCCCTGCCTGCTGATCATACCAGACACGGAGGCATTTGACGTTCTATGGAGCTAACTAAGGCTCCTTTAAAATGGACCAAGGTCATATGCTCCCATACCCTGAGAAGTATATACCTGCCCTCACATGTAAATCTGGACACAGGAGGACCCACATAAGAACCTAGACAGACTCAAGGACACACCTTGAGTGACTGTACCCAGAAATGAAAGATTAAGGTGATTCCTCAATCCAACCAGATCACCTGGGGGAGACCCAGCAAGAACAGACATTGGATAAGGAGAGGCTATGTGGGATCACGGGTCTGGGCTTCAAACTAGTCCAGGCTAAGAATGTAGGGCTGCCTCTCTGTTGATAATGATCCCGGAATTCTGGGGCTAGAAAGGCACAAGAGAGTCATTTTACCTGCCTGTTGGCTCTAGAGTCTAGAGCTGTGTGCTATCCAATACAGTAGCCACTAGCTATGTGTGGCTATTTAAAATGTAAATAAAACTAAACATTTAATTCCTCAATTGCATCAGCCACATGTGGCCAGTGGTCATCATACCGGACAATGTAGACCATAGAACATTTCTCATTACTGCAGAAAATTCTACTGGACGGTCCTAGTCTAGAGCTTTCCTCAACAAAAATAGCTCATCTGAGCCATAGAACAGAAAAAATGATTTGAGAGAGTATTTGCTCATTCTCCAAAGAGAATACATACATAATCAACCCCATTCTAGACACAAAAGAGAGATGTTATTTATTACCTAAGCTGGCTATCTTGGGGCATTAGGGCCTAATTCTCTCAGGGAACTTGCTATACCAAGTCCATCTAGATCAGTCCCAACATTTTCCTATGCTCAAAGACCACAGCTCCCAAGAAACCTGTCTCTGCTCCCCCCAAGTTGGGGTCCTACATTCTTTACATTAAGCTAATCCTACAGCCACCCTCTTCTTCAGAGTCCTTGGAGCGACAGCTTCCCCAAGGAACTTTCTGCTAAGTTATCTGTGTGTGCCCCTGAGCTCTTGCTGTCTTTTGCTCTGGGTCACCACCAGCTGAGAGTCTGGTCTTTCCACACACGGGCCAATACACACCACTTTTCCAACACCGACCCTCTGTCACCTATGCCGGTGGGACGATGACTGGGTAAGCTAGACCTAATTTGTAGTACAACTGCAACCCCTCTGCCCACCACCCAATTTAGCAGCTCACACTGCTGGTAGGGCAGCCCTCCCTTTCCTGAGTAGTCATAGGAGCCAGGGCTTATGTTCTCCCTGGGGAGGAACACGGAAATAAGCTTTAACATAGAATATTTCTCCGCAAACTGTCTATGACGCATAGAAGCCACAAAATAAAGTTGGAAGTTGGCTTTCCAACAGACTGGTGTGCCCGGCCTCCCCTAGAAGATTGAAGCCTTCTCAAGAAAGGGGATCAGGTCTTTGTCTCTTCTTCTTTCTACTGTAACTACCTGACCCCCAGTGCTTCCCTGAAAAGCGTCTAGAGGCTTCCCCTGTGGGTAACGGGAAGGTCAGGGGCCCGGCGTACCCTGTCCAGTCGGCTCTCATCCATCGACTTAGAGTACTCCTTGAGCTTGTACTCTTCTCGCTCGATGTGGGCACTCTCGATGTCAGCTGACAGGTGAGGCATGTTGGAGACCCAGGCCACCGTCCGCTCGGAGGCTGGCATGGTGGGGTTCAGCGTGGATGGCGCCTGAGAATGCTGGGATGGGGCAGGGTGGAGGTGAAGAGAGAGGAAAGGTGGGAGAAGGCAGGGTGCATTGAGGAGGAGAGAGTGCTGCCAAAGGAGACGACCATCCCAGTCTTGTTCCCCTGCTCTAGTGCTGATGCCCTTGTGAATGCTATTTATTTATCATGTCTCCCCTCTGGAGAGGCGAGCTCCACCAGGGCAGGGTTTGTGTGGCGTTCACTGTCAAACCCACAGTGCCTAGAACAGGACATGGCCCGTAGCAGGGACCCTATACACAATTTGTTTAATGAATGAAAGGAGGTGAGAACACTATAACTTCAGACCCCCGACTATGCTGCCCCCACCTCCCCAACCCACTTCTTCCTTCCCTCCCTGTTCCTCACCCATTTGGCCTTCCTCCCACCCTCACGTACCTGCTTGGTGATGGAGGGCTTGAGCCCCCCACCCCCTCCGCCACCGCTGCCCCCGCTGCCCCCAATGCTGCCCTCTTTGCTGAGGCTCTGTTGCCGCGGACGGGCAGGGCCATAGCTTGGCTCCGGTGACTGCAACAGATTCCCACTGGATGGCCGGGGTTTCTGGGCAGCGCTGACCGTCAACTGCTGAGACTTGCCCCTCTGCAATGGAGGCGGTTGGCCCCCGCCACCCCCACCACTGCCCCCACCGCCGCTCCCACCTCCAGGCCCTGAGGGGGCAGGCCTCTGGGGACCAATGGTGATCTGGGGAGGGGACAGCATGTGCTGCAGGTTGTCCTGGAGTGAGAGCTGCCGACGGGTGAAGTCAGTGCCAGAGGGTCCAAACTCATCACTGTAGCTGTGGCTGTGAAGGATGGAAGCGGCAGGGGGCTTGGGGACCCCTGAGGAGAGGTCCTCGCTCTTGCTATACCCATGGAACGGGGCAAAGGTGTCCCCGGGAGGCTCTCCACCTCGGTGGTGGTGATGGTGGTGATGGTGGTGATGGGAGGAAGGTGGGCCGTGACCACCACCCCCTCCGTGGCCCCCTGGGGGGCCTGGCCCATCAGCAGCCATGTGGAAGAGAGGGTTCTGGAAGGAGAGGGGGATGCGCAGTTGCTGGGCAGGGACACCATCCGTGGTGACACCCATCTGGCTGAGGCGCATGCCAGCTGCTGTAATGGACGAGCCACTCCCCTGGGAGAGGCGTCCAGCGGGCGCAGGCCGCAGCCCCAAGGCTGCGGTCAGGGAAGCCTGGCTTGAGTGCAGCAGGTCCCCAACGGCCGCCAGGTTGGACACACTGCTACTGTTGAGGCGGCCGCCGGGCCCGTCGCCCTGCAAATCCAGCATGGAGACACTCTTGTTGACACTCAGCATCTTCTGCTCTGGCTCTGTGATGTCCGAGCTGCTCGTGCAGTATGCTGGCGAGGAACGGGCCAGGGGTGGACGGCTTACATAGAACAGGTCTTTACCCCCACCAGGAGGTGGCGGGGGTGGCTTTTCCTTGGTTGGGGAGGGGAGGCGAGCCATGTCCATAGAGCTGCAGGAAGGGAAAGGGGCATACGAGCAGGAGGTGAGGCCACGGCCACTGGCAACTGAGCCTGCTGTGGTCTGGCACAGGCCTTGGGGTGAGAAGTGGGACCCGCAGGGAAGGGCGGGGAGCCAGCGGTGGCAGCTCTGGAGAGGGCCGGCAGGGAGCACGGGAGGGGGTACATGGGAAAAAGGAAAGGAAAAGGCCCCTCCAGGAAGGGAGTGAGGCCTACAGGAGGGAGATGGGGGCGCCAAGAGGAGGGATGAGGGGCAGGTCCGGGCAGATATGGAGGAGATGAGGGTGCATGGAGGAGAAGAGGAGAGGAGGAAGGTGAAGGCCACTGGAGTGGGGTGGGGGGAGCAGAGAGGAGAGGAGAGGGGGGCGGGGGAGGGGAGAGCCCCTCACCTGTTGAGGCCTCGAGCCATGAAGGACTGTAGGTCGATGGAGCTGGAGAGAGATGGGAAGAGGGGCGAGCACAGACAGACAGAAGGAGAGAGGTGGGCAGAAGGCGTGGACGCATGGAACGAGAGGCGGGAATGGTGGAATGGGTATGGCATCATGGAGGGAGACCGGGGCGGAGGGACAAGCAGGGCGGTCAGCAGAACAAGCAGCAGCTGAGGCCGCCACACTGGAATGGATGTTGGGGCTCAGGAGGCCCTGCTAGGGTCCCCATGTTACTTCTCCAGTGCTGAATCGTGACTGAGGTCTGCTCAGTTCTGGTGGGGGGCTGGGATAGTGCCTATTTACCAACCAGTACAGACGGTTCAATGTTTGGATACTACACAGCTGATCCAACATGTCTGGCGGCACCTCGGCTCTGGGACAGGCATGGGCAGGCAGGGGGACTAGGCAAATCAGAGCTAGCAGCAGGAAGCCCCAGGCTTACAACAAGCTGGAGCCGGAGGAGCCCCCGCACTCTTCCCAGGGCTGGGAGAGTCCTGCTCCCTCTGGCCTTAAAGGGCTCTCCGCCTAACCTGTCTCCTTACCATTTTCTCTGAGAGCCTGCCTCTTGTTCCTTTCTTTCAAGCCCTAGAGAGATGCACCGGGGCCCAGTGAAGCGTATCCAGAACAGAAAAGTAGGGGCTCCTAGGGCACAGGTGTGGGGGGGTCCCAGGTACTCACCTGTTGAGGTCCCGCATCATGTAGCCCTGCATCTCGGCCGATGGGCCCCGCAGCACCACAGGCTGAGGCCGGGGCCGCTCACTCTGACGGCTTGGCTGCCTTTGGATGTTGGGGTTCCTCAGAGCTGTGCTGATGTCATTGAGGAGCCGGGGCAGTGGGCCCAGCTTCAGGAGGGCTTCCTGGAAGGATGAGGCTGTTACCTGGGGGCTAAGCACCCAGCTCTAAGAGGGCCCCAGAGGGTGCGGGGTGGGGGGAAGGATGTCTGAACTGGGGGAGTGGTAGAGACACATCTGGGGACAGGGAGGGGAGAAAAATCTGTGCAGGGGGTGGTCTGAGAGAGCCTCTAGAGACATCTGGGGAGGGGGCAGAGGGGCATCTGCTGACCTTACTGAGCTGGGGCAGCACCTCCCAGAGCAGGGCATGGAGTGTGGAGAGCTCTCGGCCCAAGTCGATGTAACCCTCAAAGCTACTACTGTTGGTCAGCGTGTCCAGGTTGGAGATCTCATACAGGAACTGCTGCATGGAACCCCACTCCAGCTCCAGAAACTCATTCATGAATCCCAGAAAGTCCTCCTTTGAGGTAAACCTGGCCAAGGCATCCAGAAGGTAGAGGTTACACACACAGAAGGCCTCACTCCCACCCGTCTCAGGGTCTCTGGGGGACGCGGGAGACCCTTCCTGCCCACCCCCAGCCCCACCCTACCCCTGCCTGAGGCTTCCCTCACTTGGAAAAGTTGGCCAGGTTTTGGATGACCTTGGCGATGAGGGTTAGGGTTCGTGAGGTCTGCTCATCTGGGTACTCCTGCATGAGCCCAAAGAGACTGGGCGACATAATGGCTGGGCAGAGGAAGCGCAAGAAGAGCGAGGCGCTGATCAGCCTGTCAGCGATGTCCTCCCGGCCCCGCTCTGCGCAGCGCAGTCGCCAAGATGCAAACACCTCCTTCAGCTCCCTCGGGAACACGCTGAGGGGAAGGGGTGGGGAGACAGAGAGAGAGAGAAAGAAAGAGAGAGACCGGGACTGAGCCCCAGAGACCCTCAGCTTCCAGGGAACATGCTGAGGGGGGTGGTAGGAGGTGAGGGTGTGGAAACAGAGTCGGGGAGAGACAGGGAGGGAGGGACTGCAGCAGGAAGACAGGAGGCTGCTGGAAGAAGAGGCCTATGGCAGAGGGAACAGACAGATCAGGGAGAGAGAAATGGAGGGGGAGAGAGGGGGAGGGCAGAGAGACATGCGGGAGAGGGACGGAGGGTGTATGAGAGAGACAAGGAGAGGAGTAGAAGAAAAACAGACACCAGGGAGAGACAGAGATGGGAGAGAGATGGAGGGTCACTTGAGGTACAGGGAGCTCGGACCCCCCAACTCTTCTGGATTCCAGGGAAATGGGGATGGAGGTGCCCCTGCGTGATCCCCACTCCCTGCAATGGCTCAGCGCTCACTCCCCCACCTCCCCGTTCCACTCCAGTGTCCCATTGACACCTTAAACTCTGACTCGTGTAGTGTAAAACAGAGCTCACCATCGCCCCCACACCTCCAATGAGCTCCTCCTCCTGACTTCCCTGGTTCTGTCAATGAGGCCACAGGTCTCAAACACCAGCCTCATGGCCTCTTGAATCATCCTGACTCCCCACAGACAAGCTCCCTTCTTCCCAGTCAGTTGACAACTCCAGCTGATCCCTTCCTCAGAGGGGCCTTCACAGTGGGCCCCCTTTCCCCTCCCTGCCACCGTCCTGATCCACATGTCATCCAACAACAATCACCTCCAACTAGCCTGCACTTTGCTCTCCCCACTCGTCACTCCCCACACTCCACACCACTTAAGGATTAATCTCAATCATGATACCTCTTGGTACCAGCACCACTAATGGCATCCCATGACCTACTCAATGAACTCAATCTCCTTAGCCTGGCAGCTGAGGACTTCCAGATTCTAACTCCAACCCCCCTGTCGGGACCTCTTCTTCCACTCTCCATTATGAGCCACGGGTTCCATTAAACCTAAGCTAACTGCTGGCCCCGGAAAGCTCCCCGGCCGCTCACCTTCACGCATGTGCCCATCCCACAGCCTTCTCCTGCAATGTCTCCTTTGCCCACCATATCCACGTATCAGAACCCAACCCAGTCTTCAAAGCCCCGCCCCGGGGGACACCTCCTCCATGAAGCCTTCCCTGCTTATCCCAATCAAAGCTCTGCCTTCTCTGACCTCATGTTTCCTGGGGGAACCCTCACTTGGCACTTCACACATACTACAGCTGTTCTGTGGCTTTCCGTGTTATCTACTCTGTCCCTATTCATTCTGGGTGAGGCCCTCTCAGGGCAGAGCCAGGCCTCATGCTTCTCTGCTTTACAGCCCCCAGCACACCACTTTGCCCACAACCAGTACTCAGTCCTCTTTGCGGATGGACAGATGGATGAACAGATGAACACACGACCCCAGCCCCGGCCCCCACCCAGCGTTCCCAGTCTCACCAGTGGGAGTTGACCACCTTGCACAGGGCCAACTCACAGCACATCCGCAGGTTGGCCTGGTGCTCTGCCAGGCTGGACGCCGTGCACTTGATGGGGTCCACCTCGCAGTTCTCCTCAGACTCATACAGAGCACGGATGAATTCCCCTGGGGTGGGGGCACAATAGAGGGTGGTCACACTTGCCAAGAGCAAGGAGGGGGGCTGCCTGGGTTGGGGAATCTCGGAATCCCATGGTTGGAGCCTGGAGTCCGGGGACTCTAGGCTTGGAAGCATCAAGCTGAGGAAGGGTGACTTGGGGTCTGGAGTAGCCAGGTTTAGGGTTGGGATGCACATCTGGTAGGTTTGGGAAGAAGACCTGAGGGTGGGCCATACCAATGGCATCCTTGAGGTATTTCTGACCAATCAGTCTCATGTACTCTTCTATGGCTTTAGTGGCGAGCGTGTTCTCGCGGAATATGAGGTGCTCCCGTTCCATGAACCGGTCCACCTCAGACATGGCCATGTCTGAAAGGAAGTCCTGAGGCCCGGGAAAATCCAAGGGTCAGCCTCTGTACAACCCAAGCTCATTCTGAAGACAGAGTGCCCTATCCTTACTATCTCCCCCTCCCCAGCAAGTACCCACTCCCAGGTCACCTGTTCCTGAGGGCACAGCACTCACCTTGGCCTTGCCCGTACTCTGCAGAATGTGAACCAGTGCACTGGCGACCTCCTCCTTGCCCTTGACATTCAGGGCGGGCTCCAGTACTGCACACAGCATCCGATAATGGTTGGTGACATACTCTGCAAACTCCTTATACAGCTCCATGGGCAGGATACTCATTGTCTGGTAACGCGCCTTCAGCCGCACAGCCGGGCAGCCTCCTTTGCCCTTGCCCCCTGAGCCACTCCCCGAGCCCCCGCCCCCTCCTGAGCCCCCCATGCCCCCGGAGCCCCCGCTGCCCGTCGGCAGGGTGACAGGGTACCACTGCTCTGTGAAGTGGCGCCCAGCGAGGGTGGCCACAGGCACAGTCACCAGGCCGACATAGCCCGCCTTGTCCTTCTTGCGCTTTTTGTCTGAGTCACGGTACAGATGTAGCCGCAGGGCGCGGACAGCCGGCAGGTTGTTAAACTCGAAGTGCTCGCCCCAGAAGACGGTGTCCCCTGAGGCCGAGCGGGGCTTGGAGGTGGTGCGTGCATACAGCATGTCGTCCAGGCAGAGCTCACAGTAGTACCGCTTCTTGGGGGGCAGCTCCCGAGCCTCTATGATCCACAGCTTCAACACGTTGTCCACCCGGCGGCTGTTGTCCTGGGGTGGTGGGGTGGGCACAGCGGATAAAGGGGAAGGGAGGGAGAGACAAGAGACACCAAAAGGGGAGAGGCAGTGAGAAAACGAGACAGGGTCTCTAAGACAGCAACCATAAGGCCGAGAAGATGTGTACCGGGTTGAACAGTGTCCCCCCACCTCCAAAATTCATGTCCACTCGGAAACTATGAATGTAGCCTTCATTGAGAAAAGGGTCTTTGCTGATCTACTCATATTAAGATGTATTCATCCTGGATTAGAAAATCCAATGCCTCATTTCTCTATGCAGAGGGAGATTTAGAAACCGGAGGCACACAGAGGCAGAAATTGGACAGATGCAGCTATAAGTCAAGGAGCTATCAAGAGGCAAGGAAGAAAAAACGAAAAAAAACAAAGAGAGGCAGGGAAGGATTCTTCCTAGAGCTTCAGAGGGAGCAAGGTTCTGCCAGCACCTTCATTTTGGACTTTTGGTCTCCTAAACTGTGGAAGAATAAAGTTCTTTCACTTTAAGTGACCTAATTTGTAGTAATTTGTTATAGCAGCCCTAGACAACTAATACAGATGGTGGCTCATATCAGACTATAGAATCAGCATCAGGAAAAATTTCAAAAGCTCAAAGAATAAACCAAAAATAATAAGATGGAATTTGAAAGAGGAGAACTGGGGAGTCCTCCAAAGACAATCAGAGATTGACAGCAAAAACAGAAAAGGCAAACTGCATAAATATGGGATGGGTGAGGCTATATGCAGAGTTAGTGTGAAAGGGAAAGGGCCTGGGGGATGCAGCGGCCCACAAGGTCCTAGCCAAGCTCAGGGGATGCTGCTGCGTAAAGAGAACACGGTGTTTCGGACTCTGCATGGGTCAGACTGCATCCAGCCTCTTGGATCTAGTTCCGGACAATGAAAAACAAGGGATTCCCCCAGAGGAGGGTTGCCAGGACTCTGAGCTCACTGGAACCTGGGATTCGAGAAGAGCTGACGAACTGGGAGCATTTCTCCTAGGAAAGAGAAGCCTTGGGAAGAACACAGACTTGTAGAATTTCTGAGCCAGAAGCACTTTAGAGATCATCTAATTGCCATATAAACGCCATTCCCATGGCAAGCAGGGGCTAGGTGTCCAGCTGTCAGGGTGTTGGTGGGGCACTGCTTGCCCAAAGGGAAGGCGGATCAATGCTCTAAATCTATGACTTCTATGGTAACAGACCATGAGGCAGAAAGAATGGTAAAAGAAATGGGGACTCAGAGAAAAGTGGGGGTCACCTCCTGCTCATCCAGGTCCCCTCCTCCCCAAGCCTCCCTTCCCTTTAGCTCACCTTGCCCCCTAGGCCCCCAGCTTCCCCTGTGGCTTGACCTTTGCCTTGCCCATGCTGTCTGTGTCTCCTTTACTCCCGATACCTTGTTGGGTTTTACTGCCCGTTGTAGATTCTCGATCCATTTGTCCCTTTCGGCCGCAGAACGACAGGCAAAACATTTTGTTCCTGAAGACGTTGTTACCTGAGAGGGGTGGGGGGTTGAGATGGGGCTCCAGAGGAGAGGTGACTCCTAAGCACCTGACACCCCATCGCCATGTCTTCCTCCCTGGCCTACCCTCCTCTCTCCCAGCCCCAGAGGTTTCTGTTTCCTTACCATCCCCACCTGTGCCACTTTCTCCAGGCCTCCGTGCCCTCACCCTCCATCATTCCTGCCCTCCCCAGCCCACTAGACTCAGTACCTCAAAACAGAACTCCTGGCCCAGGATGGAGCTATGCACTGGCTTGATAATGGAATCTTCATCCAAGTTGAGCTCCAAGGCCTCGGCCGCACTGCTAGGGCTCAGCAAGGACTCATGCGAGTGTGACTCCTTGAAGCTCTGCATCAGCCGGGCCCTGGCAGGGAAGGGTCAGACCACAGGGTCAGGGCCTCACTCTTCTTACACACCCAGGGGCCAGCTCTAGGATAGATACCTGGGGAAAGAGCCTCCTGAACCCCCTTCCCATACAGACACAGACAGAAAGAAAGCTGGCCTATCCTTGGGGAAAGACATGAGCAAAGTGAGAGGAGCCAGAACCCTTTCAGAAGCCCCTACCCCACCAATTCACACCTAAGGGGTTGTGAGGACTGGGGACACCTGGAAATATCTCAACCCAGAAATAGATCATGGTAGGGAAAAAAAAAGAGAACAGGTGGGCCTGGGGCACTTCTAGGTGGGACTTCTAGCTGAAACCAGAGCCTCAACATAAGGGGGGGAAAGTGGAAGTAAAAAACCAGAAGTACAAAGAAGATGTTGGTTTGGGCCTGGCACACAGCGAGTACCTAAGAAACATTTCATGATTCAAAGGATGAACGAATCCAAGAAGAAGACAAGTTTTCTCAAAATCAGGAAAAAAAAGGAAGGTAAATCACACAAGAAATAGGGGAAAGCTGTGGGCAGCCAAGTGAGAAGGAAGAGCTGGAAAATGGGGCCTGGGGAAGAGGGGGAGGTAGGGCAGGAGGGAGCAGGTGGGGGCAAAGCCGAGTGCAGAAAGACAGAGGCTGGGAGAAGGTGAGGAGGAGCAGCGGGAAAGATGGGCGTGGGAACAGAGATGGGGGGACAAGCAGGGACTGCACCAGACAGCAGAAGGTAAAGGGGGCTGAGGGAACGGATGTCGGGCCACACAATACAGAGGGATGGGACCGTGAGCGGCCGGGAGATGGCTAGGGGAGGAAGAGTGGAGAGCAGTAGGAAAGCAGGAGGGGGAGCTCGGGTGTGGGAGCCTCCATGAAGCTATTTATAGCAGCCCCGTCATCTTGGGCTCCTTTGCCGTCAGCACGACGCTCCCCCGGCCCCCCCCCCGCCCCCGCGGCCAGGAATACCATGCCCTCACCCCCCCCACCCCCCGCCAGGCCCAAATCCAGCTCTGGTGACATGGGAGGGGGCAGGGGAAGGTGTGACTCACCTATCCCAACCTCCCTACCTGCCCAATCCTGGGGGCGGCCAGACATGGGGGAAAAGGAAGGACAGGGTTCTCCCTAGGGAGTGACTACGTGGGGGGAAACCCAAAGAGGGACCCCAAGAAGCAGACAAGAGAAGCAAATATCAGATCTCCTGCAACCCCAGCCTCAGAGACAGTATCCTCCGAAATTCTCTGAGGGCTTCTTCCTCAGACTTCAGTCCATGATTAACCCTAGAGCTTCCCCTCCCTGTTCTGCCAACCTGTACACCTGCCCCAGTCCCCCCTTCCCTCCTCCAGTGGCGTCTGCCAGCCCCAGCCCCACTCCGACCTGCTGCCATCCCCTCTCACCCCTTCTCCCTAGGTCACACTGCTCCCGCTCCTACCAGCCCACTGTCCCCTTCCCTGGATTCCTTCAATGTTCCCTCCAGGCTCCTCTACTCCTCCTCTGGCCTGCACCTTTCCTTCAGTCCTGGGCTGGAGCCCATCCTTCTGTTGGCCAGAAGAGTCCCTCCTTGGCCTCACCTTCATTTCCCTTCCTGCCTCCCTGCTTGTCCTCTCCCAGCACCCTGCCCCTCTCCTGCTGCTGCCTCTTCTGCATTCTGTCCCCGGGCCCAAAACATCCCTCAGCCAATCCGGGGCCTTCACTCTCTGCACCCAGATAACCCCCTTCCCTCCAATCTCACCCAAGAACCCCCTGTATTGCCCTATATTGCATCCAACTCACCCCCATCCACCCCAGCCCCTGTACCTGTCATGGTCAGCACTTCGGAAGCGAGGCAGGATCTGGCGAAAGCTGCTGGTCCGGTCAAGTTTGGGTTGTGACTTCGTGCGTTTGATGGAGCTTTTTAACCTCCGGCTCAGGAAGCCTTGCTGGGGTGGGGGGAGATGGGGATATGGGTGGGTTGGGGCAGGGTAAGTTCTACCTACTCAGCCCTCAGCTGGTAAAGAGTCCCTGGATGAAAGTGGGATGGGGGAAAAGGGAAGTCTCTAGAGGTGAGGAAATGGAGATTAGAGTCTTCCTTTGCTCCCAACGGGTGCAAGCGGGCGCACACGCACGCATACGCGCATACGCGCACACGCGCGCGCGCGCACACACACACACACACACACACACACACACCCAGCTCCGAGAAGGTGGGAGGGCTGGTCTGAGAAGCAGGGGGACAGAGCCAAGGAGGGGGAAACCAAAGAGGTGGGGAGAGGCAAGTGCACTCTCTCTCTGTCTCTCTCTCCCTCCTGCCCCCTTTCTCAGAATGCTGGGGCTCCAGCTGGGGCTGGAGGGGAGGGGGCCCAGCTGAGCCACATCTGGCCTAACCCTTCACTCACCGAGGGCCGGAAGGGCGCAGCGGGGGCGGCCTCCATGCTGTACTGCTTCCCCCCTGGGACGCTCTTCCTCCTCGAGCGACCCAAGTGGTATTCTGGAGAGGGGAAAAGAGCCAGAAGGGAGGTTGGGAGGGGTCGCTGTTAGCCCAGGTGTCCACTTCTGACCCCAGCCCATTCGCCCACCTCCCTCTGCCCCTCAGCTCCAGCCTCACCTACCCCCCGGAAAGCAGCAGGAAGAGCAGCGGCGGCTGAGAGGCTGGCGGCGGGAAGGAGGGGGTAAAGAACCCGAGCCGGAGCCCCCCGAGGGGGACGGGGTGGGAGGCCTTAGGCCCATGACTGGGACTGGCAGTCAGCAGAAGGGCATGGCTGAGAGGGTCAGTAAAACCCCAGTGATTAAAGGACACCAAAGATCCACGGAAGCTAGGTCCTTGGTGCCCACCCCCCCAGGAAGGGGCTAGCTGGGGGGGGAAGTTGGGTTAAAGGTCATTGCCCATAGGCAGGTTTTCCTCTCCCCTCAGCTGGGCACATCTTCCACCTGCTCCTCTCTCCTGGAACCCCTGTCCGTCTGAAGAGCCAGGGCTGCCTCCCATGACCCCCTCCCTGGTCTGGAGGGGGAAGTCTTAGAAGGGACCTGTGAGGAGTGGCAGGAGAAGAAGCCTGGGGACAGAAAATCCAAGGAAGGGGCAGATTGGGGGGGGAGGGGAAAAGGGGCCGGTTCCACGTGCACTGCAGTGGCAGGGACTCAGAAAGGAAGGAGGAGGGAGAGGAAAATAAAAGAATGCAGGGGAGTGGGGGAGTGGGCAGGGAGTGGGGAGGATGAGCAGTGGAGGTTCAGGGGACTCCCAAGTGAGGGTAGGGAGAGGAGGAGGAGGGGAAGAGAATGCGGATGAAGCTCAGACTGCCAAGAGTCCAGAGGGGTGGCAGCTCGAGGAGGGAAGCTGAGGCTCTGCTGCCGGGGAATTTAGAGGGGCCAAGGGGCTAGAGGAGAATGAAAGTGGGGGGATGCCAAGCTCCGGTTCCAGCTCCAGAATGGCTGCCCAGGCCTGGGCTCCCCCCTCAGCCCCACAGTCACCACTGCAGCCAATGGGGGGGCAGGTGCTGCATCAGGGGCGGGGCTACCATCTCCACGGCAACAAGAAGCTACAGGCTGTGGGGGGGGGGGGCCGGAAGAGCTGCCTGTTAACTCTCTAGGTTCCAGAACAAGGGAGGACCACAGCTACATTTTCACTGTCTGCTTCCAGAATTGCAAATCAGCAGCAACTTGCCCTAGAATCAGTCTTCAGCTTCCCTTTGCCTCTAAAACCCAGGTGTTAGAAGGTCGGCCCACAAAAATGTGGGCCCCATGACAGAGGGACCCTTGCCAGACCCTTGGAAACAATGTGTAGAGCACAGAAACATACACTGAACTGTGGGGGTACGTGTATATAACCACAATACAAAAAATAGGGATCTAGGTGCTTATGAGACATACAGACAACTGTGAGCACGGGGGTGCCACAGATCCACATTCTGAGACCTTGAGGCCCACATACTCCATGGGATACATGCTTAAACATATGTGAACACTGCAACAGGGGAGTACACATTTCGACCCAGACACCCACATGAGAGCTGCTGGTGTGGACGTGTGGCCCCAGTCCCTTGGGCAATCATGTGGGCAGCACATTACAGAAATGGACGTTTAACCCTAACACACACACACACACACACACACACACAGGAAGTCGGTTTAACCTCTAAGATAGATGCTTGAGTATACTGTGATGCCAACCACAGCAAGGTACCCTGGTACCTCAAAAGCACAAACATCATTCATTCACATGGGAAGTATGACCACATCCACTCCATCTCAGGACAACCTTCTTCTCCCTCAGCCCTTGTCTGACTCCGACGCAGGCATCCATGATTGCTCTCCCAAGGAGGAAAAAACGAGGAGCAAATGCATCAATTACCCTTCTAGGACACATTCAACAATGCATCGAAGGGGTCAGGATATTTTTTTCTTAGTCTCTGCATTTCTTAGGTATGGTTGCCTCACTCTCGTTCCAAAGAACCAAACTCAGGCACTACTTTCAATTGCAAGCTCCTCTAATAAAGGCGCAAAGACTAACTTTAAATCCACTAAAATTTTGCTTTGGAACTAAAGAATTGGCAGAAAGAGAACAAATTTGCTAACTGGTTTACTTGGCTCTTGGAAGTAATATAACCTTACACATGTTACCAGGAACTAAGATCCATGAACTCACACGTAAGCCACAGGAACATGGAGGCCACATACACAAATGCTTACAGAGACTTTCACTACCACAAAAAAGAAAAACACAGAGAGGAAAGAGAGTGACAGAAATACAGGACATTCTGTTATGAAAGCTGCATGCAGTGGCACGTACAGAAAACACAGCACATACCCGTGTACACACACAGCAAACCTGGTCAGCGTACACTGCAATCCTGGGTCTCCGTGTCCCATCCCTGCACGATGTACACACGCATGCACACACATAACAGCCACCTACACGCACCCGTAACACAGGCATTGTGCACACACCCACACATGTACACACCCCGTGTACACACACAATTGCACTCTCACACACAAACCGCAAAGGCTTGGACTCCCGCCTCTCCAACCCCTCTAATCTTGCCATCACCCACAGAATCTCCCCCTGCCCTCCAATCCGCCAAATCCCTAACCTTCCCTTTGGCCCTTCTTCCTTTTCATACCCAGCTGGCAGCTCTTGAGGGGAGCCAAGGAGGGAGGTTGCCAGAGCAGGATGAGGTACAGAGTTGGAGAGAGCAGAGAAATGGGGGGCAAAACTCTGTGCTGGGGACAGGAAGCTCTAATGACAGTCCCTGTGGTGACAGGCCTCACCATGAGCCAGCCTCCATGCCTGAGTGGCTATCCCTCATCCAACTAAGCCTGATCCTATACAGCCTACATGAACCAATGCCCTCTCTCATCTTGCCCCTTACTTCTCTCAGATAGCTTTACTAACAGGCCTCTCTGCTCTCCCCACTCCTCCTCCCCAGCTCCCAGACCCTGTCTCCCTCCATCTCCATCCAGTTCCGCATCTTAAGCTCTCTTATTCTCTTTTCTCCTTATTCTGGCTCAAATATCTCCTACATTTCCATTCTCCAGCTATTCCTTTTCTCCTAGCCAAACCTCCCTCATTCCTCTTCACCTCCTTTCTCCCCACTTTTCCACTTTCTCTCCACTCCTTTCCTTTACACCTTTTCTGTCCCCACTCCCAGACAGACCAGGGGCTCACACCTGCCCAGCCCAAAGGTGTTTCACACATAGTAGGATTCCAAGAAGCCCACTCACACACTCTCACTTCCTTCCCCCACTTGCACACCACCCACATCCAGGCACGCCCTGGACACCCGTGCTGGGATTGACACAGATACCCAGGCCAATGATGGAACACATGCAAAGACACACACCTGCCACCAGGGACAGAGAAAATCTTGCTCATCCTGCCACACATCCCTACACACGGGAGACTGACTGGAGGTGAGCCCCAGCCAGGGACATGCAAGCTCAGGGTCAGAGGTGACATGTACCAGTACGGCCAGTGGCCGGCCCAGCGGCCTCCTAGGCAGGAACCGGACAGAGGCACGATGAGACAGGACAGGCTTGCACACGGTGCATGAGGAACTGGGCCCCGAGTACACATAGATAGCATCGACACACGGGGGACACGAGCACGGACACGAACACACACACGGACACACAGGCTGCCGTCTCCACCAAGGGTCTCCGAGACCACCCCTCACCGGCCTCCCCCGCGTGCTCGCGACCCTGGCCCCCGTAGGCCTGTCCCCGATCTCCCACCTCCGCTGCCCCCCTCCAGTTACCATAACTCCCCCCACTCGGAAGATGCAGCGAGAACATGCGGAGGGAGCAGCTGCCGCCGCCGCCGCCGCCGCCGCGGCTTCCCCACCCCCCTCTCCGCGCCCACGCACACGCGCGCCCCCGCCCCCACGCGCGCTCTTCGTCCGCCCGGCCCCGCCCTTACCTCGCACCGCCCCCTGGGGGGGGTCGGGGGTGTCCCCGGTGGGGGAGGGGCCCCGCCCCTGAGCGGGGGAGGGGCGGGGTGCGGCGGGAGAGGGGGCGGCGCGGCCCGGCTCGCGCCGCCCGGCGCGTTGGGGGCGGTGGCGGGGCCCGGGACGGCCGGGACGGCCGCGCGGTGACGGCCGCGGGAACGGCTCCCTCCGCCGCCGCTCCCGCCGCTGCCGCCGTTGCCCGGGCCCCGCCGCCGTTGCTAGGCGACCGCTGCTGCCGTGGCCGCCTCTGTCACGAGCCCCGTCGCCCGGAGACAGCGCGAGAGAGACGGGGGAGGGGGGCGAGGGGACCCCCAAAACCAACCGGGCCTCCCACCATCCCCTCCGGAGCAGGACCCCCCACCAAAACCGCGGAGGGAACGAGGGGCGGCGGCTCCACCCAGCAGAGGAGGAGCCCTGGATTCCAATGCCCCTCAAAGGTCCGGCGACCTCTCCTGGGCTCCAGCCTCCACAGCTTCAGCACACACCTTCGCGGACCCAGGCCCCCAAGCCCCTAAAGATCCCTATGTCCCTGCATATTCTCCATGCCCTTTACACATTCCATGTCCCCCTGAAAACCCCAAACGTTCACCAGCTATCAACTCTTTCACTAGATCCTCCCCCCAACTAGATATACTCCAGGACCCTCTTCCAACCCCTATTGAACCCCCAACACAACAACCTCCATATACCATCCCCAACTCCAAACACACAGGGATGCCCCCACCCAAAACACAACGGAGACCCACACCAGAGACCCCAGACCCCGAGGACTCAGGATAAGGAGAAAGATGGGGATTATGTGGGCAGAGGTATCAACCATCCTACATATGATAAACATGCTCCGTGAGTATGTGACCATTCTGGCCTGGACACACAGGTATGCACATGTGCACACACACAAATCTTTCCCAGACATGGACATGACACACACACACACACACACACAGATGTGACAGACATCACACACATTCTCTGTACACACCACTACCACCACCACCACCACCACCACCACCACCTGGCTTTGCCTCACAGAAATGTGCTATCCACACACCCCCATGGTCAGAGGTTTCCATGACAATGACACACATCCCTGCCCACCCACCCACCCAGGGTCCCAGAGCTGGCCCCCAAGGGCAGTGAGACCTGGGCCTATCAGAAGAGGACCATATATAGGGAGCTAAGGGATGGAGACAGGCCACCGGATCTCTTGGAGGAAGAGAAACTGGGAGCCTGGATACCTGAGGGAAGGGTCTGCTGGTGGAAGAAAGGGGTAACTAGGGGTTGGGGGGATGGAGGAGCTGGATCCCTACTCTTGGAAGGGGAATGCAGTGGTAGGGGGCAGTGACAAGGGGGTTTCTGGGGGCTGAGGGCGTCTCTCTGCACCTTGGCTGCAGATCTCTGTTCTCTGCCTTCATCTCCCCTCACTGTTCCCATGGAAACCTTTTAAGCGAACTTCTCAGGAAGACAAAAATCTTTTTTTAAATGACTAAAGAGGGGGGTGGAGGGGGGGCAGAAAGAGGGAGGGAGGGGAAGAGACAGATGGAAAGAGGGAGAGAGTTGGAGAGACAGACTGAGCAGATAGCTCTACAGACAGACAGAAAGGAGATGATGGGGGGGGGGTCTGATGATGTTCCACCAGGAGCAAAGGGGAACGACAGAAGAATCAAGAGGGGTGGGGAAAATAAGAGAAATCGGAGAGGAAAGAGAAAGGGGGTGACAGAATTGCAGAAAATAGAAGCAGTTGAAGAGAAAAGGGGGCAAGAAGAGGGAGGGCCCACAGGCCAGAAGGTCTGGAAGAGGAATCAGGAGTGTGGGGGTGGGGCAGAGGTCTGCGGGGAGGGCAGGAACTAGGTCATTCTCTCCACGATCCCAGACCAAGGGCTGGGAGAGGGGCAGGGGCAGGAACGCTCGGACAGGAAGCTAAAGATCTAAGGAGACTATTTTTACAAGCACCAGGAAAACAGGCAAACTTCGCTGCTGGAGAGGAAAAAGGGAGCGAAACAGAGCAAAGACCACTGGGGCCTCTCACCCACAGCCCCAGTCCCGCTCCAGATCCCAGAGGAGGGCGCCTTCTCCTTCCAGGCTCCCACTCGCAGGATGAAAGACTGTGTCTCCTCCTCCTCCCACCCCCTGACAGCTCCCTCATTTCCCCGACTCCCCCCTCCCCTGCAGCCCCGGCCACCTTCAGCCCTGTCCCCGCCACTGTCCGGGGCACGAGAGCCTGCTCGGCCGCCGTACCATGCTCGCCGTGGGGCCGCCCCTCCACCGGCACGGAGACCGTGCGTCTCAGCAGTTTGTTGCGACTGGACTCGCTCCTCCGGTCCCGGATCAGAAGGGGGTGTATCTATGGGATGCGGGGGTGTGTCAGACCTCACTGGCCCAGGCCGTCCCTCCTCTTTCCCTCCCCCCCACCAAGGAAGGATGAACCTCCCTCTCCACCGGGCCTGCCCACCTTCGGCCCCTACTCCTGCACACTCTTTAAGTGTCTTGGGATGAGTCGGTTTCTCTTTCCCCTCTCTCTTCAAGTCTCTCTCCCTCGTTTCCCTCCCGTCCCATCCTCCTTTTTCCTCCCTCCATTTCTTTTGAAACACCCTTCGGGAAATTCTCCCAAACCCGACTCAGCTCTTCCGGCAACCCCGCAGGAGTCTGCTACTCTGGTAGTCCCCCTTTCCCCTTGACCTTCAGCTCCTCCATTCTCCCCGCTTTCCTCCCAACCTCCCACCTCCCTCACCACCTTCCCTCCCTCCGTGCCTGTCACGGGGGTAGCAGAAGCTGCATTTATAATCAGGATCTACAGCTTGTCTCCCTCCCACGGCCCGGCTTTCGGCCAGACTGGGACTCAACCTCCCCGCCCCCCTCAAAGGGCCTGGTCACCTCCCCCCACCCTTCATCTCCTTCCCTTGCCCCCCACTCAACCTCTTTCACGTGCCTCCTTCTCTTGAGCCATTCCCTCTCCCCGAGCCTCATTCCCAGCTCCAAGCCTCCAATCTTCACCCCTCCAAGAACCACCCCACTTTGCTAGTCCCTAGCTCCAGGTCCACAGCCCACCTACTTCCAACCCCCTGTGGCCCTACACACTGCTCACCTACCCATCCCACCCCCACAGCCTTCCCACTCCAGACTCTGGCCCCTCCGCTCGGGTTGCCCCTTAGCTTGCTGGCCACTGGTCCCCTGGACTTGTGCCCAGCTCTGTCATTCCTTCGTTATCCCACCCTCTCAATCCTCACAACAGTCCCCACTCTTATTGGTTCCAGTTCCCCCAATTGATCCTACAGCCCCCCTACAACCTGGTCAAGACCACTAGTGAATCACTCAAATCCTCCCCAAGGCCTAAAACTTGGACTCCTGAACCATCTCTTCCTTTAAAGTCACCATGTCCTCCCCTAGACACCCGGACTTCACTCTGTGACCTGGAAGCTCTGGCCAGCCCTTGCACACTCTCCCTTGCCCCTCAGGCCCCTCCAAGCCCTGGTTAACCCCAACCATTTCTAGCCCTGCCTCACCACATCCTCCCCAACGGCGGCAGGGGCGCCTCTCACCACCTCACTGGGCTCCAAGGCTGCCTATCACTCTCTAAAGCTGGTCCCCCAAATCACCCCCAACTCCCTGAATCACACCTCTGGGCACCCACCTTTCATATCTGCACCCTCTGTTTCCTCTGATGGGTCCTCCACTGCTGACCCAGTGCCCAGTCAGAACCCATACTCCCTTGGCTCTAACGACCCAGCACGGCCCCCACCTCCCACACTCTGGCTAGTCCCTATCCCTCTCCCACTCCTACTTCTCTAGAAAATGTTCCCTGCTCCCAGTTCCCCCCATTGCCCAGGCATCTCCTCCCTTATATTCTTTCCTGATTGATGTCCCTGGTGAAAGCCCTCCTGGTCTCTCTAAACCCTGACCTTGGTTGGGCACCTTCCCAGTCTTCACCACCATCCACACACCAAGATCCACTGACTTCTGTCATCTCTCCTAGTACCCTCCGGCCCCCCTCCTGGTCCCGGTCTCCCTCAGTTCCCACTCCTCACGTGATAGGGTCAGGCCTGGGCGTGGTGAGTGATGGGTCTTGCTGAGATGGGGGAAGAACAGGAGAGAGTTCCCGAGGACCACTTAGGAGGTGATCCCTCCAAAGCAATGCCCATTTCTTGCCACCCCTTCTCCAAGCCCTTCAGTTTCCCTTTCCCATCCTAACCTATCCCACAATATGGGCAGGGCCACAACAGGAGCCACCCCCAACTCTTCAGAACCACATCTCCTCTCCAACACTGCACAGGAAGATCCCCTGGCCAAGGTGAGAGGATGCTTGCCCTTTTGCACACCCCAGTCCAAATCTCAATGACCACCCTCCTCAGACTGCTTGCAAATGTTTCCCTCTTCTTTGCCTTCTCTGTGTCTCTCACCACTTCACTAATGAGGATTCTCCTCATCTTTCTCTCCGTGTTCTCCCGTGCTACCCAGAGGTCTCTCCCCAACCTTCCCACTCTGCTCACCTCGTCCTCATCCAGCATGAGAAGCTGGTTCCCCGAGATGATGCAGAACCGTGGGTTCCAACCAGGACGATCATATGGGGAATGAACGTATTGGGTTCGGTGCATAGGGGGTCCCCGTACATCTGGGGGACAGAGACACACAGAAATGGTAAGGGAGGTTCTATGCACTTAGGAGACAGAGGCCCAAAATGGCAAGAAGAGAGTCCACAAAGTGGGAGAATGAGACCCCACCCGCCTTGGAGATTACAGATGGGGATGAGGCCCATGGTAACTTAATTAAAGGCACGGAAGATAAGCCTGTATATCTGGGAGGAACGAGGGGAGGGGAAATCACATCACATGGGGGCTCTGTAGACTGCAGGAAAGAAATACAGAGGAGCGGTTCAGGGAGGGGGATTATATCATGACAGAGAGGGTACACATTCAGAGGCAGAGAAAAGTGGCAGTGCTCTCCATCCATATCCAAAAAATGAAAAGATGGAGGGTGCAGCAGAACTGGCAGAAGAGAAGTACACAGAGATGGTGGTGGCAGGGGACTGGGAAGAGGGAGGGCATCGGAATAACTGCAGAAGTCAAGCACTTGGAGGGAAGGTGGCTCCCCCAGCCGTAAGAGAGTGAGGGGGAAAAAGCTACAGAGCTGTGGGAAAGGATGGGGCCAGTGGGTATAGGAACATTTGAGCATGAAATGCTGAAAGCTAAACATCTGGAAAAGAGAGGACATGAGGGAGCTTACCTGTTCACAAAGTCAGAGACCGGAGAGGGCCTCTCCTCCTGCCTCTCCTCTATTCTCAGCTCCCTCCTCCTCTAGCCCAACCCTGCTCAACTCTGGGGAAATGGTTCTTCTGGTGGTAGGGGGAGGATATGTCTTGTCAACAGCTGGCTATGGGAAGGGCTGGAGAGTGAGGAGGTAGGAAATATGCCTTTGTTTGAATGAACAGAGACTGAACTGATCTCTTCTCCCACTCCGTGCCCAGAGATCAAAGATTCGCTACTGCCCCCTCTCTTTACCTAGTCTCCATGGACAGGATGGAAGCCAACTCCACAGGTGAGAAACCTCTCCAAGGTACAGTGAGGAGCTTGAGGGAGAAAGAGGGGAAGGAAGAATGGAAGATCCAGGCTTGGGACAGAGAAGGGGGCCTCCGAAAGCTCAAGCTGGGGATGGGGACAAACAGTAGACTAAGCGTTGCCCATGCTTGGAGATGCCCCCAGGGGCATACCCAACTTAGCTGTTCTTCCCTCGCCCCATCCCTGTAAACTGTCTCTCCTTTATTTACTTATTTTGTAAAGATTTTATTTATTTATTTGGCAGAGAGAGAGAGAGAGCACAAGTAGGCACAGAGGCAGGCAGAGGGAGAGGGAGAAGCAGGCTCTCCACTGAGCAGGGAGCCTGATGTGGGGCTCGATCCCAGGACTCTGGGATCATGACCTGAGCCGAAGGCAGCTGCTTAACCGACTGAGCCACCCAGGTGCCCCCTGTCTCTCCTTTAAATCCCAATGCCACACACCATCAAAGGGACACAGGGAACAGGCACTATGGAAGTAAGAAAGAAATCAAATTGGTGACATCAAAGTGATAGAAAATAGGTTTAAGGTATCGCAGTGAGAAACAATTGAGAGGAAGCAAAATCAGATGCTGTCACCTTTACAAAATAATCATTGGTATAGTTCAGGAAAAGAACTGGTCGTTAAGCTTCATTCTAACTGAATACCCTGAGTAGGAAATTTTGAAAAATCTACCCCTTTCTGTCTACAAACATATTCTTCAAATTTACCCAACCTGCAGATCAGAGTCAGAGATGAACCCCTAGAATACAGATATTTAGAAACCCCAATCCTTTGAGACTCACTATCGCAATGCCATTCCAGAGATTCTGTCCGAGACCCTCTAGCTACAGAGATCACTAGTCCTTAGGCTCTGAGCCTGCACACACTGCAGGCAACATGCCCACTGCGCTCAGACTCTGAGGACTCCCAGAGAAGAAATCTGTTGATAAATCTAATCATTCTGGGAGGGGTTGGTTCAGGCTGCAGCCCCAGGGAGGCAGGTTAGAGTTCAGGGGATACCTTCCTCCGGGGAGCAGGGAAGGCCACAGCGAACTTAGCTTAGAAGCAACTCTGAAAACACACACTCCACACGCACATATTGTCTAGACTTAAGTAAGGATGATTCTGGGAGGCAGATGCAAGAGACAGACTAACACAGCTGAGAAAAGGGAAAATTTTACTAGGATAAGAAGTCCCACAGGGCTCAGATGGGGATGTCTTCTAGGTCCTGTTCCAACCATCAAAACCTGCATCTTTGCACCCAAATCGCCAACACCCCAGGAAGTAGAGGAGACAAGAAAAGAGGAATGGATGGTAAGAGCTGAGGTATTAGGGGAAAGTGGGTAGGCACAGACTTGCAGGGACAAGCCAGGCCGGGGAATGGGGTAGAGATAGAGGATGGGCTGGGGGACATATCATAGGGATGGATCAAGAGAAAAGAAGGCAGAAATGAGAGTAAATCCCTAAAGACAAGGCAATATACCAGAAGAGCCCAAGTGGACACGGGGCAGAGGAAATGAGGTGCACCTAACAGGGGTACTAAGACAAGTGGGTCATGAAGGACAGGTGAAGAGGTGGTAGAAATATAAGGGAGCTACCAGATAGAAGAGAGGGAGAGAGAATGGACCAGAGAAAGGACTGATATAAGGGAAGGACAGAAGGGGGACTCATATAAGGAACGGACACCATATGGGGGGAAAGATATAGGTGATGGACACCAGAGGAGGGAGGGGGAATGGTAATAGGGATTGGAGGTGGGGGAGGGGGTAAAAAGTGGTGAAATGAAGAGGCGGATAGGACCCCTGGGGTTACATTTCACTGGTCAAAGGCCTCAAGGAGGGTCAGAGTCTGGGGCAGGGTCCTAACCTGCCCTCTACTTCCATCACTCAATCTTACTTCTATTGCCCCCTCCCCCCCTCAATAAACACACACATAATTTGGCCCTCCCCCTGCCCTGGTCTCTCCTCCCCCAGCCCATTCCCTCTCTCCTCTCTTCCCTCCATCTGGACCCTCCATTCCCCCCACCCCCCACTGCCTCCCTCTCTCTCCATCTGGCCCCTTCTTCTCTCCCTCCATCCTCCTTTCTTTTCCAACCCCCTACCATTCTTTGAGCCCCTTCACCGTATTCTACCCCCATCTTCTTTGCTTCTCTTTTCACCCCTATGTTTTCATTTCCCCCTCCTAGCCCCTCTCCTAAGACTTCCTTCTGTTTCCTTAATATTTTCCTCATCTCTCAGCTCCCACCTCCAAATTATTTCTGCAGCTCTTCCCCCAACCCTATCCCTCTATCTTCCCACCCTTTCTGGCAATCTCTTTCCCCTTCATCATGTTCCCCTCAGCCCCCTTCATAGCCTGTTTCCTGTCCCCTCCGGCCCCTATCTACCCCTATCCTCTGGCCTCCAATCCCTCCTTCCCCATTGCTCCCATCCCTGCCTTCCCGGTCCTCCTCTCTCTCCCTCCATTTCAGCTGCTCCCCTCCCTGGCCCCGGCTCTGCTCCCCCCCCCCGCCCCTGCCCCTCCCCCCCTTGCCCCCCCCAACTGGCCCTCCCCCCCTCCCCTCCCCACCGTACCTCTGAAGGGGGCATAGGACATCGCGGGGATGCTCCCCCGATGGATGGAGGCGCGAGACCTGCTCATCAGGCCTGGGGGGGAGGGGCGGGGGGGACGGGGGAGAAAGAGAAGAGAGAAAGAGGGGGAGAGAGAGGGGGAGAAGGAGGAGGAGGTGGAGGAGGAGGAGGAGGAGAGAGGAGGAGAGAGGAGCAGAGAGGAGCAGAGAGGAGGAGAGAGGAGGAGGAGGAGGAGAATAGGAGCCAACGGCAGCAGCGGCAGCCGGGAGAGAGAGAGAGGGGGGGGGCGGGGGAGCGAGCGAGAGAGGAGAGAGCAGGAGGAGGAGGAGAGAGAGAATCTGCAGCCCCCACCCCTACTCAGTGAGAACCAGGGAGAGAGACCCCTGACTCAAAAACACACCAGACTGAGAGTGCAGTTCTAAAGATGTAGACCTCAGATCCTGAGACTGAGAGACCCCAGACCCACAGAGAAAGATACCTTGCTGCCCACCCCGGGGGCGGGGGGGTAATCTGAGGCACAAACCCAAAATCTAGAGGGACAGAGACCCCAATCTCAGAAAAAAAAAGACCCCAGATCCCCCATTGAGAGAAGGGTCAGAGGTCAAAGTGTGAGTGTCCAGTTTCAAAAAAGGTTATCCACAGCCACAGAAATCTTAGACTCCAGAATCAGATGATTTCAGGAACCAAGATCAGAGACCTAGAGTTAAAGAAAAAGATGAGATCCAGATTCAGAAAAAACGCAGACCTAGAATTAGAGGACTCCTATCCAGAGATACCAGACCCCAGACTTATATCTCAGAGAAAAGAAACTGCAGACTCAGAGAATGATAACTCAAGAGATAAACTCCAGACCTGGGGATTGAGGATGGGGAGAAGGTAGAGGGACAGGGAGAGACACTGGTGTAGCTCAGAGATGTAGAATGCAGAGACCCCAAACTCATAAAGAAGAGTTTGAAAGACCTCACAGAGTGATGAGGTCCTGGAAACACAGAAACTCCCAAAACAAAATGGAAACTCGGTCCCGAGAAATATCCCACTGCAAATACTGAAAGGCCCTGCAGAGATCTAGCTCAGAAACGAACTCCAAACCCAAAGACAGATCTCAGGGAGACCCCATCCCCAGAGACACAGGCATGAGAGAACTCTGATAAACGCCCAGTCACGCAGACTCCGGAGACCCCCAAACCTTGAAAAAAGGGGGAATACTGGGTAGGGGGAGTGGCAAGAGCCTTTTCTCTGCTGCCTCCTCCCACCTCTCTCCTCTCATTGGCCCCTCTCTCCATTTTTGGGTCACTGGATGTGCTTGGGCCCCAGGGAAGTTATGTAGGACAGGTCTTGGCTCCTAGGGGGATGGGTTAAGGGAAGGAGACCCAAGACTCAGAGGTATACCAGTCCGGGAGAGTTACATGGGGGGGGGGGGGTGCGGGGTAAGGGACAAAAGCACCATCACTACTTCCTGGTGTCTCCATATCCCCAACCTAAAGCTCGCTCCCCGCCCCCATTCACGACCAGTCTGTCTTGAGCTTTGGGGTTTCAATTAAGGCTGAATTGCCCTCAGCCCCATTTTCATCACCCTCTATCCCATGTACAGGGTCTCACTGTCCTCTTAAAATGCATCTTTTCCCACCTAGCCATCGTCTTGCCGTGCCCCATCCCTGCCTAATCACTATTCCCTGCCCAGGGACAGCGGGCTTCTCAGATTATCGTTGTTCATTACCCAACCTAGGCATATGTCAGTCCTAACCAAAGAGGCAGGGGGCGCTCTCTTTACCCCCTAAGGTTCAATCTTCTCAGACCCTCCCACTCCTTAAGGCCTCGGGAACAGTGTAGGGGCTGTAACTGGGCACATTCTGGGGTTTAAGGATGATTCCCCACTCCACAAGCTGACGCATCGAGCCGGCGGGGTCTCCATCCCCCCTTTCTAGCGCCAGCTCTCTCGTCACGTGGCCTGCGGTGCTGGCCTGCGATTGGCCTCTTCGCGCAGCTCATTGAGGTACAGCCGCCTGAGGGAGACCGGCCCCCTCACGTGACAGCGGAACGCCGCTGCGGCTCTCCACAGGCCTGCAATCGGCCGTTTCCGGTTTACACGGAAACGAGCGTGCCATTTCCGTGCACGTCTGCAGATCCGGCTGTCGATTGGCCAAATTCCCTTTCGCTCCTCCCCGGACAGGAGGCGGGGCAAGCTGGGCCACGTGAGGGCCAGGATTGGCTGGCTCTGGAGGTTCGGGTCCGGCTTCTATTGTCACGTGGTGTATGCTCTTTTCTTATCACGTGGGTGCTGCCCAGGTAAGAAGAGGCCGCCCTTTCTGGTTTGGGGTCCCATCTCTGCATTACGTGCGGTTTTTGATATTCAACCATCCTCTACCAGCATAGGCTGCATGAGGGGGGCGCAGGTTCCCGCAATCCTGCTCGGCGGAGGGGTGAGTGACCGGCCCCGCCCCTTCCGGTCCTCGAAGCCTCGACCACCACCCGCGCTCAAAATCCTAGGGATTGGCTCCTGAGGAGGGAGTGAAAACTGAGTCTGCCTCAATTTCCCAAGTTTCTCTCCCAGCTTCAGGGACCTTTTCCTTCGGGGTGCAGGAGAGGGAGGGCAGAGCCTGTCTATCCAAGTGAAGTGTTCCCGAGATGCAATTTCCTCGGCTGTTTGTTGGGTAACACCCTATTCATTTCGTGCTCTCAGGTCGCTCTGCTTCTGTCGCTCCTTTGGATGCCGGCGCTGTTGCCTGTGGCCTCCCGCCTTCTCTTGCTACCCCGAGCTCTGCTGTCCATGGCTTCAGGAAGCCCCCCGTCCCAGCCCTCGCCTGCCTCGAGCTCCGGCTATGTTCCCGGCTCGGTCTCTGCAGCCTTTGTCACCTGCCCCAACGAGAAGGTCGCCAAGGAGATCGCCAGGTGGGGACCTCAGTGTGGAGCGAAGGAGGAGGATCATGACGGGAGAGAGCTGGGGGTGGGAGAGAAGAGTGCACTCCCGCAGCTTCCTGCCTGACCCCCGGCTTTGGAACCTTGTCTCTGGGCAGCCAGTGCAAAAAATCCGGGTCATGGGGCGTTCTGAATGGGGCTTTCTCTTCACCTTCAGGGCTGTGGTGGAGAAGCGCCTGGCAGCCTGCGTTAACCTCATCCCTCAGATTACATCCATGTGAGTCATAGGAGTTGGGGGGTTAGCCTAACTCTAGGGGCTGATTGGCAGTGCTTTTCCTTGAGGGCAATCTTTGTTCCTTCAACACTTTCTCCCTGACCTTTTCAGCTATGAGTGGAAAGGAAAGATTGAGGAGGACAATGAGGTGCTGATGGTGAGAAACATTTCCCCATCCAATGAAACCTCAATTCCCTGACCCCGTTCCCTCTTCTGAGATCCTGAAATCAACCCCACTCCTTGATTCAGTCATGTCTGTCTTTGCCTCTTAGATGATTAAAACCCGAAGTTCCATGGTTCCAGCTTTGACAGATTTTGTTCGGTGAGAACTTTCACGTGGGTAGCAGTGAGGGTGGCACTTGCTGGGCAGTCTGAAGGGGTGGTGGGCTCATTTAAGGTAGATCTTTGAGTGATCCCCCGTATTTTCACAGTTCTGTGCACCCTTACGAAGTGGCTGAGGTGATTGCATTGCCTGTGGAGCAGGGGAACGCCCCATACCTGCATTGGGTGCACCAGGTTACAGAGTCAGTTTCCGACTCCAGCACAGTCCTACCGTGATGAGCCCTGTTTCTGCCATGTTCCCCTTGTATACTTCCATGCCCTTTGTCTTCCAGGTGATGACTGGGCCCCTAATAAATCCTATCTTTGGTTTTCTCTGCCTTTTGCCTTTTTCCTTGTCATGTATGTGAATTTGGTTGGGAAGACGAATTGCTGCCAGTCTCTGTGTTCTCATCTTCCAGAATGACCCAGGATTGCTAGATTTGTTTATTTACCTTTATTTCAATCATACAGAGTCTGGGATCCTTTATCATTCCCCCCCTCCTCAGTTTCCATCCCCAGGGGTTAAATAATTTTAAAAAATATTTAAAAAGCTGTAACAAAATAACATCAAAGGAAATGGGAAGAGGGATGGGGGAAGGGTCAGGAATCAGGAAGGGAGTAGAGAAGAGAGCCTCTTCCCCAACCCCCCACCTGGATTCCAGCCTGGGGAGTAGAGAGAACTACCCCCTACCTCCCCAGGTACATCCCAGCTGTAGGTGAGGTCAGAGGTCAGGGTATGAAAGTGCCGGTGTGTGTGAATGGGGAGGTAGGCAGAGGCAGGCTGTTCAGAAGATGCCCCCACCTCCCCACTCAACCAGGTACTGCACAGAACCATCAGGCCGTACTCTCCGAGCAAGGACCCGGACAGGGTCCCCTCGGGACAGGTAGCCAACCCCACCTCGGACTCCTCCCCCAGTCCCAGGAGACAAACTACGGCACAGGGAAGAAGGGGGTGCTGAGCGTCTAGGAAGACCTGGGGAGGGGGCTGGGACTGAGGAAGATGAGGCAGTCATCGAGTGGGGGGCACTTTTAGGGATGTCTGTGGGGAAACCAATGTGAAGTTCCAGGGGTGACCTAGGGAGAGAAGGCAACTGTGAGTCCAGATGCAGATAAGGACTGACTAAAAATGGAGCTCACATGTGGATCAGAGGCACAAAGAAATCAGGTTAGAGACTGAGGAACTTAAGAGCACAGACATGAAGAGGGGTGGCACAGGTAAAGGGGAAGAATCTCACCTGTCTGGGGGTTCACCATCCCCAGAGGTCCCTGCGGTGCTGGCAGAGGGGTGGAAGGAAGCGAACATCCGGATGGGACTGCTGGGGTTGGGGAGGGGGAAAGTCAGGACCTGAAGCAGGGGCCTAGGACCCTCTCCCACTGAGAAGAGCAGAGCTCAAACAGCCCCAAGGAATCCCCATCCCCAGAATACTAGGGATCAGACATTGGTTCTGGAAGTCTCTCTAGCATAAGAAGTGGGTAGCCAAGGGGGGAGATGGAAAATAATTCTGGGTAAGAAAGTCCAGAGGATGTAGACAATTGGAGGAGAGATTCTAGGGGTACATAACTGGAGGGTGAAGGAGCACTGACCTGGGCAGGCAGCGGGCGTCTGTGGGCCGGAAGTTGTAGCCGCTGCTGCCCTGGTAACTCTGGTTAGGGCTGGGGGGTGATGGAGACACTGAGGCCTAGAAGAAGGAGCAAAGGACTGAGAGATAATCCTTGATTCCTTCCCACACCACCATTTAGCTCCACGGGGTTCCCCCTGCCCCTGTACCTGCAGTGCCCTCTGCAGACGAGCCCGCTCCCTTTGCTCCTGGGGCTCGGGCTGATTGCGCACTGCTGAGGGTGGCCCCAGCTCCTCCATTTTCCCCTTCTGCCTCCTCCTCAGGGGCTCTGGCTCCGGCCTCCGGCGCTTCCCCAGGGGACGTGAGACCCCTCCCCCAGGGCCCTGCCCTGAAGGGAAGCTGTAAGAGGCCTCCTTATCCCCCCAGCCCCCTCCCGGACACCCCAAAGACCTCCCCATCTCCATACATATGTCTCCCCCATTAATACCCTGAGAATCTCCCCATCCTCCCTGGACCAGTGACCTGGTGGGGGCTCCATCTCCAGTAAGGGGCTCCACAGGGGGAGGGATCCGAGCATGGAGACCAAACAAGCATTTCCTCTTCTTAATCTCCCTCCCTGAAATGAAACTGGGGTGAGGAGAGAAATGATACAGGGTCAGTGCAGTAATAAAGGGCCCCTCTGATGCCATTACTCTATCCTTTTCAGAGATGAACTTCCAGGTGGGCTGCAGCCCCTTTTCCTCCCAGGCTTTCATAGCCGCATCTCTTTCTGAGCCTCCCTCCAACTCACCGGTCCTTGTGGCTGTTGAGAGCAGAGAGGAGTTTGGAAGAACGTTCTCCCTTGGGAGTGTCTGAGAGCTGGGGAAGGGGAAAGAAAAGGAGATCAGGGGAGCAGTGGTCCCTCTCCCTTCCCCTGTTCTTTATACTCCTCTGTTCCACCCTCACTCCCAAAGCTTCACCACCCCTTACCTCCCCGAGAAGCAAACTGTCCCAATTCTCAGAGGTGAAGGGGAGGATCTCGCGGTCAAAATCAAAGTATTTTTTCTTACAGCAAACGCTGAGGTGATAGAGGACAAGATGGGCCACGTCCACCCTGGAGAAATATTGAGTTATCAAGGTGGTGGCAGCCTTGCAAAAACCTAGAGTCCCGAGGTGGGAGATTGGGGCACATAGGGTGAAATCCCGGGGCTGCTGAGAGAGGACCTACGCTGAGGTCGTGCTAGCTCACCAGCGAAGCTGTAGCCTCCTGACTTTCTCAGGGCCCCCCCGACACACGCAGCATTCGAACTCATAGAACCTGGAAGTGGGCAAAAGGGAGGGAGAGAACACACCTTACACAAGAAAACAATACCAGGCTACGGAGGACTCACAAACAAGGACAGGGCGCACAGGGGAGGCAAGCTTCAGAGGCTGGGGAGAGAACGGAGCTGATGCATCGCTCCGGGGGATGGAGCGAGCGGAGCGGAGCTGGAGGGCTCCGGTCTCACCTGTCCCCGTAGAGGAGGGGCTTGCTCAGACACTGGGTGCAGGCCTCATGGAACCACTGCAGGCAGCTCCGGCACTGCAGCATCTTCAGGTTCCACCTGAGGGGCAGCACAGGACTCGTGACCTCCAGACACTGCCCCCACCTGAACGGCCCCACACCCTACTTACCACCTACTTCTGTCCTCTTCAGCACTCCCCTCGTCCTTTCTCCTCCATTCCCTGGAATTCCTCCCACCCCACTCCATCACTCATTCCCAACCACCCCACGCCCCCGTTACTCACTCCCCGGGGCCACCACAGTAACAGTAGCTCTGCTGCCGGTTGCTCAGATGTCCAGCGTCCCAGTCTAGCCCCTTTAGTCCATATGGCAGTGACAGCTTCATGCCCAGCATGGCCCGGGCATAGGGGCCCTTCTTCAGTGCACCCCCCCTCTGCAGAGAGGGAACAGGCAGGCTGCCTCAGAGGGGTGGGGTGGGGGGGCCGGAAAGGCTTGGGAGAGGCTGTGGATGGGAGGCTCCCACAGGAAAGTGACTTACCTTGGTGGCAATGGCGAAGACGCACTGGCGGCAGACCCAGGATGTGCCCTCTCCTTCTCCAGGGGCTGGGGCCCTTGGAACGTGGCAGTCCTGGTGGTAAGCTGAATAATGATAATATTGACGGTAGGCCACTTACCGCACTGCATACCTTTGTGTGCTAGCAACTGGGACAGGAGGAGTCTCGGCCGCCTCACTTCATCCTTTACCATCATCCGGCTGTACTGGGTGAATTACCCTTATCTTACAGGTGAGGGGACAGGCTCCTAGGGGTTTGGGGATTTGCCCAAGGTCTTACGGTTAGAAAAGGGTGTATCTGAACCACCCTCTGTCTACAAAGCTCACACCTCCCCATTTCATGGCTGTTTCTCCCTGTGCTGGAAGGGAGTGAGATTACAGAGTTGAGACTGGCCGGAGCAGTGGCTTGGGGACTCAGTCAGGACAGGTGGCATAAGGACCAGCGGTGGAGGGAAGACTTGGGAGGCAGCCTAGCAGGCTCAGGGCAAGCCGGACCATTCAGGTGTCCTGCCCTCTCACCGTGGCGACACTTCTCACAGCTGACCAGCCGGTTCCCAGGGACCACAGTCTCAGATCGACAGACACAGCAGAGAAGTTCCTCCCCGGGGAGGGCAGCTGTGAGGGAACACAGTGTTACGGGGCCTGTGCTTAAGGCCCCTTCCCATCCCCCACGCCAGGTTTCTGCTTTCCATGGCATGCACACACTTGGGCCTCTAGGGTCTCACCGGGGCTGATGTCTTTCCATAGAACCAGAAACTGGGAATCATCCTCAAACTGGACCAGACACACCTCCCGAGCACTGTCCACCTGGAATGGTTGAGCACAGGGGATGAAACAGGAATCAGAACTACATAAGGAGAATGGGGAAAAGGCAATAGGTCAGAGCTCAAATGTCTTACCTTCTTGATGGTGCCCAAGTATAGCAGCCCATCCGTCCACCTGGCCAGCACATCTTGGCCCTCCCAAAGTCGAGGCCTGGGGCCTGAGGTGGGAGCAGGGGAGGCTGGGTCCCAAAGTGGGGGGGCACCAGAGCGGCTCAGCCGGGGGGGCTGTGCCATTGCATCCTGGGGGGGGCCTAGCCAGAAGTGGGATGGGAGAAGGTTATGAATGTTGAGAGACTCCCCATTTTTCTTTGCCTCAAGGATTCAAGCAGCTGTGCTCCCAGTCTCCAAATCCGAGACACCTGGATAGGAAATCACACAGCACCCCTCCCAAGCTTCTTGACTCCAGCTTTTCCAACTCTAGTGACTGGCTCTCCTCTCCCTAACACCCCCACCCCCCCAACCTAGTTCTCTAGTTTCCCAGCTTCCAGAGCTCCCCTGGCATACTATATCCTGGCCTTGAGATTTTAGGAGAAATGATGGTTGCAGAAGCAAAGGTTACCATTCAGTTTCCGCTGTCCCCTTTTCCTGTTTAGAGGTATCATAATTGGGGTGCTCTGTGTTTTGGGAGCTTTTCTGGAAATGTTTTCCAGAATAGAAACGGCTGCCTCCCCGGGCCCGCGTGTCTCATTCAGAACAATCATCCTGACGCCAGGTTATGTCAGGTCACCCTCAAATACGGGGCTCCCTGCCCCCGGGTTAGATAACTTCCCTGAGTGCCCGGGGAGGGGGGCGTGTCCCAGTCCCGGTCTCTACTCCCCATGACGGTGAGTCCGAGAGGGGACTTGAGTCGGCCCAGCCCGAACCGATGCCTGGGCGGCGAGGCTCTCCCGCCCGCGCCCTGCGCGCCGACCCCCGGCTCCCTGCCCCCCCACGGGCGCCTCCCGCCGCCTCCTTACCAGTGACAGCTGGGGCCGCCGGGAGCCGGGCACAGGCAGACGTGGGAGACCGAGGCGAACCCCCCGCGCGGGGAGGGCACGTCTGGGCGTCGGAGGGCGGGCAGGCAAGGGCCGGGGGGTCCCCAGGCCCAGCCCCTCCGTCCCGGCAGCTCTGGGGCGTATGACGCAGCAGCCAAAGCAGCGGCAGCGGCAGGAGGAGGCGGCGGGGGGAAGGAGGGGAGGGGAGGGGAGGGACAAACCGGCTCGGGGGGAGGGTGGTGGGAGGGGAGGACTGGGGGGAAGGAGGAGCCGGTGGGGGGGGCGGGCACCACCTCACCCCACCTCCCTCACCTCCAAAGGGCCCGGAGGGCGCCGAGCGAGTGGTGGCTTCTCCGCGGCTGGGGCGGGTGGAAAGTCAAGACCCGGAGGGAGAGGGAATCCCCGCAGCCCCTTCCTCGGAGGGAGACCCGCCCTCGGGGCAGGAGGGAATCCCCCCCCTTCCCGGCAGCCGGCCTCCAGCCTGGCCCCCGCCCCATGCCACATCCGTTAACTGCCCCCCCAACCTCCATGGTCACTCTAAGTCCCGCCCCCCGGCCCCAGTTCACGACCCCGCCCTCCATTCACCCTTCCCATCGCCCCCGCCACGCCCTCCTCCCGCCTTTGCCCCCGGCCCCGCCCTCCCCGTGGCAAGTTACCCCCCCCACCGCCGCCGCGCTTCTGCGCACGCGTGACCCCTCCCGCGCGCGGCACCTGGGAGGATTGAGCCCCTCCTTTGTGGGGCGGTGGCCGTTAGCGGTTGGCGCCAGCGAGTCAGCGGGCGTGCGTCCCGCCCAGCGCTTCCAGGGCGGGTGCACGGGCCCGGAGAGCTAGTAGCGAGGCGGTAACGCCGCGGAGAGCCAGCCAATGGGCAGCGGGCGGGCCGGCCCTGGCGGTTCGAACGGCAAGGCAGGGAAAGGGCGGGAGGAAGAGCCAGCAGTTTGTGGGAGGGCGCGCCGGCCCCGCCCCTGGGCTCGGGTTCCCACCCTCCCACAGCCGCCGGAGGAGCGTTCCCGAACGGGGCTGGGTGGCCTGCGGCAAACTAGTGACGGTGGTTGGCTGGTGGGCACGTCTTCTAGAGGCGGACAACGGGGAAGGGGGTGGTATGGGAGGCTTAGGCCACCTAGGCTCGAGGTGATGGCCTGATAGGGAGAAAAGCTGACGCCCTTGCTCTGCAAAACAGATACTTTGCAGATCCGCGGTTCCCATTTTTACAGATATGGCCCATCGCTAATAAAACCTTTATTTAAAGAAAAAAAACAAAAAACTGTTCTTTATTTGATAGACCCAGGTCACACAGCGCCCCTCCCCCCAATAAAGCATCCCTCAGCCGCCCCCTCCCCCCCAAACACACAGAAGATCTGGATCTGTCTTCATTTCCTGTTGGCCTGGGCCGTACCAATAACACACTGGTTCACCTGTGGGCAGAGGGTTTAGACAGGAGAAAAACGTTTTCTAAGTAACCAAAATAACAGTTTTCTCTGTTTCTCTGGATTGCCTCCCACCCCCAATATTGGGGCTGCCCTCAGAAAATACTGAAACAGGGGCGCCTGGGTGGCTCAGTCGTTAAGCGTCTGCCTTCAGCTCAGGTCATGATCCCAGGGTCCTGGGATCTAGCCCCGCATCCGACTCCCTGCTCCTCGGGAAGCCTGCTTCTCCCTCTCCCACTCCCCCTGCTTGTATTCCCTCTCTCGCTGTGTCTCTCTCTCTCTCAAATAAATAAATAAAATCTTAAAAAAAAAAAAAAGGAAAGAAAATACTGAAACAAGGGCTCTGAAGGAGGGTTCAGGCTGGTCTCAGTTAAGGTTAGGTCTATGCCCACTAACCACACCAGGTCTGGAGGAGGTGAAGAGGCCTGACTGAGAAGGGATGGAAGCCACACACAGGAGCAGAGAGAGATGGAACGTCCATTTTCAGCAATACCGTGGCCCAGAGACCCCAAGACCCCACCATTTACTGGTTAATAAATTAGATAAAACATGAACAACACTCATTTAAGAACCAAGGCTCCTTGGAAAATAAATGATGCCAAGTTTAGGAAGGATATGTACCAGATGAATCTAGAATAAAAACTACTGGTTCCTGTCTAAAGGACACAGAAGCCAACTTAAAGGAGCACCCACTGGCCAAAGATGAGGCAATTTGAGCATCAGAAAAAAATGACTACAAAGGATATGTATCAAATCCACAAGCATCTGTAAGATGACACCCACCCAGATAAAAACCCACTTGGTCACCTTTGGAAGTTGCCAAGATACCAACTTCTAATACTGAAAACTGATAAAGAATCTAGCATTTACTCTGCCTTTCCTATATAGACTGGATTTCAGAGTAACCAAATACATGGCAAAGGGAAGTTCTTTATAGAAGAGACAAGACTAACAAATGTAAAGTGACTGAGAAAATTAAACTCTCTAATGAAATAATGATCTAGGTACGATGACTGTTCGATAAAATCACTAAGTGAAATCACTAGGTCAATAGGGAGTTTTCAAATGGTAACACCCAAATCCCATGATTGATTTTTATATCATTAAAAGTAAAACAACTGGATATTAGGTGCTCCTGATGCAACAGAAAGTATACTGTACCATCTAAGTTTTCTTGTCAAGAAATATAAGCCTGATTCAAATCTAACAAGCCCCTAAAACTTTAGTGGAAGGAGCATAAATCTCCTAGAGAATTCATGGCATGGCCTTCCCTTAATGTTTAAGTGGCTTTTGGAGCCTGACTTCACACTACTTGGAATGGTCTGAAAACCATCTAAGTCTTTCTCTCTCTCTCTTTTTTTTTTGAGAGAGAGAGTGTGTGCACACATGGGGCAGGGGGGCAGAGGGGGAGGGAGAGAAAGAATCTGAAGTGGGTTCCACGCGACGTGGGGCTTGACCTCACGACCCTGAGATCATGACGTGAACCGGTATCAAGAGCTGGACGCTTAACCGACTGAGCCACCCAGGCACCTGCATCTAAGTCTCCTTTGATCCAGCAATCCCAATGCCAGGAATCTCTCCCTACATAGTTAGATATGACTAAACAAACACAAAATGACATATATCTTGCTACAAAGTTAGCCAACATGCTCTTGTTTGTAATAGAAACAAGGGTGGAAACAATCCAAGTGTCCAGCAGAGGGAACTGGTGGATAAACTTTGGTGCGGCCACACAGCGGAGTCCCATGCAGACATAAAAATAATGGGATGATCTCTGTGTGCTGGGGGCTGGGGGTGGGGGGGGAGTAATCTTAGGGATATCTTGTTAAGCAGAACAAAGTACAGAACAACATACATATATATGAAAAGGGAGGTGTCTTCTATATAAGAAGGAAAGGAATAAGCACAAGCATATTGCTTATATTTGCAAGAAGAAACACTGAAAGGGTAAGTAAAATGCTAAATGTTAAAAATGATTACCTCTACCAGGGCTGGTGGGGAGAATGGGGTGCACAGGGGCGGTGGTAAAACTTCATTTGTTGTGTATAGCTTTTATATAGTTTTGACCCCTTAACTACCTATTTTTAAAAAATTAAAAAACCCCGGGGCACCTGAGTGGCTCAGTCGTTAAGCATCTGCCTTCGGCTCAGGTCATGATCCCAGGGTCCTGGGATCGAGCCCCGCATCGGGCTCCCTGCTCAGCGGGAAGCCTGCTTCTCCCTCTCCCACTCCCCCTGCTTGTGTTCCCTCTCTTGCTGTGTCTCTCTCTGTCAAATAAATAAATAAAATCTTAAAAAAAAAAAAAAAAAATTAAAAAACCCCAAGACCCAATAGCTAAAAAACGGATCCAGGGAGATAGTGCCCCAGATGCCCGGCAAATGCAAATCCTTTCCAGATGAATGTGCCCTTGGTCTAAAGGACTGAAGGGGACCCTAAAGGGTCAGAATGGAGAAGCCTACAATCACCCAGGGGTCCTGACAGGGCCTGGGCTTGGGGGTAACTGCACCTTGGAGGCAAAGCGTAGGGAGTTGAGGGACTCAGAGACGTTCTCTTCTAGGGGGGAAATGTTCACAAACATGAGCCTGTGGAGAGAGGAGAGGGGGCCAAACCCCAGCATCAGTGTCTGGGTGGAGCCTGCACCAGGTTCCCACTGTTGCCCCTTTCCCGCCCCTGACCCCAGCCTCACAGTCTCCACCCAACCCCTCCTGTCTGTCTGTCCCTTTCACTCACATCTTAGCGCTGCCACCCAGAGAGTTCTGCAGCAGGTAGGTGAGCTTGCTGTTCCGGTAAGGAACGTGGGACTCCTGGACGGTTGAGGGAGACAGGTGATTAGGACAGGACAGTGTTCAGCGTGAGCAGCCTCAACCCACCCCAGGTCCCACCGGCCCCCATCCCCATTCCCACCTTATTGCTCAGGGCCATGATGACCAGCCCCAGGGTAGACAGGCTGCTGTTAATGGCTTGTGTTTCCCGAAGGCGTTCCCGTTCCCCAGGGCCAAGGGCTAAGCCAGGGTCCAGCCGCTCGCTCCCAGCCAGGTCCACAAGGCTGAGGGGGGCCCCACACTGCAGGCCCCGCCCAGCGTGCTCCCCAGAGATCTGGAGCTGGAACACGCTGTGACTGCGTGATGAGCGCTCGTTCTGTGACGTGCGGGCCACCGCCCGGTTCTGGCGGGCCACGTGGAGCAGGGCCTCCACCTGGGGACAGGAGAAGCAAGGGGCGAGAGCGGGCAGGGAGGGGCTCAGCACGAAGCCGCGTCGGTAGCAATGACCCAGAGTCAGTGCCTGCCTTCTCGAAGATTTCTTTCTAGCCAGTGAAGAGACAGAATGACTAAGTAAAATGCACAGCTACGGCCCGAGGGTGCTGAGGGGGAAACTAGAGCAGAACCATGAGGAGCGCGTGAAGGTAGGGTGAGGGCTGCAATTTGAGACAGGATGGCCAGGGACGGCTTCAGTGCCTTCAACTCTGAAGGCAGCGAGGGAGCAGGCCATTCGAGGAGAGGAACATTCAGGCAAAGGCCCTGAATCGAGAATGTGATGGGCTGGCTGGGGAACAGCCAGGAGGCCAGCATGGCTGGAGCGAGCTGAGCGAGGGGAGTCGTAGGAAATGGGAGCGGAGATGCAGCGGGCAGGGGCCAGGAAGCCCTCGGCATATGCGTCACTCCACGCCCTCGTTCCCTAAGGCAGGCAGATCTACCTTACAGTCCCCCCAGCCGTCCCCCACCCCCGGCCGAAACTGACACGGCGACCCACAGACGCGACCCACCTGCCCCCGTCCTTCCGCTCTCTCCTGGTCCCTCCTCCGTCCACCTGCCTCCTGCGCCACCCTGCCCGCTCCCCCACCTTCTCCAGTCCCAGTGCCCCTTGGGGCTTACCTCTTTCTCACAGGACACAGGAACATAGCGGGCATTGGTGACAGTAAGCTCCTCACTCCCCGGCCCTGCCCGGCGAATCTCACACTCACCACCCTGGCCCTTCCGGGTCCCCGTGGCCAGCAGGTCTCGGACAGTCTCATTGTAGATCTCTACGTAGCTCGCCACAAAGCTGTAGGTCCAGCCCTGGCCGCCCAGCTCCTGGGCCACAGAGAAGAGGTGCCGCAGGGCCCGAGGGATCAGGCCCTCCACCTGGGGGTCTCCCCCAGGCCCACCCTCCATGGTGAAGGTCTTGCCACTGCCTGTCTGGCCGTAGGCAAAGATGCACACTGGGTAGCCATCCAGGGCTGACTGGACAAGCATGGCGACCTCCTCAAACACTTGGTCCTGTCCACTCCCTGGCGGGAATACCCGGTCGAAGGAGAAGTCGTGGCGGGTGGTGGGGGCCGGCGCCCCACTCAGGGTCCCACGACGATCGTCAGACCGGGAGACACTGAGGCGGGTTGGAGGATCGGAGGGCCCGCCGGGGCCAGAGGGAAACAGGAGGAAGCCTGGGGACGGGGTGGGCTCCCCTGCAAGGACAGGGCGGACCCGGCAGAACACACGGATATTGCCTTTGAGTTCCTGTAGCTGGTTGTGGAGTCGCCGGCGCGCCATCTCGAGCCCGTGCAGACGTTCGCCTTGCTCCACCAGTGCGGCCGCCTGCGCGGCAGCCTCCTGACGCAGAGATGCCACCTCCGCTTGGCTGCCTGACAGAGCTGCTTCTGAGGCCCGCAGCCTCCTCTGTTGGGAACGGAATGGACACAGAGCGTGAGGTGAGGCCCAGTGGAAGAATCAGGGCAAGTCATGACAAGGTGGGGGGTGGAGGGAGGGTGGTGCCTGTCCCCGAGGACGCCACAGCCTGCTAAGGACAGAGGTAAGGAAACAAGAGGCAGGGTACCAGGCTAGGGAGTGCTCTGGGGACAGCCAAGAGGCGCACAAGGACAAGGATAGCTAAGCCGACACCCAGAAGTATCAGAATAAACCAAGGAAGAGACGGAGAACAGAAAGAACAGCCCACAAAGAGGGAAGGGCCTGTGCAAGATGCCCTGAAGAGAAGACTGAATCATTTGAGAAACTGCAAGTAATACCATCTAGTTGGTGCTCCCCAAGGAGTCAAATGGACACGAGAAGAAGAGAGAACGCCACAGGGATTTTTGACCAGGGAAGAAAGAGACGGAGGAGAAGATGGAGGACGACGGGAGACACAGACCCGGGGTGTGGTGGGGGGCTATGAAAGCAGTCAGCGTAGGGGGAAGTGGGGCAGAAAGCAAGACGCAGTCAGGAGTGGGCAGGGGTGGAGAAGAGCAGAGGGATACTGCTGGAGAGAGGCGGCCAGGGACTCCCAAGCCCAGAGAGTCCTCAGGGTAACCCAGAAAGGAGGGGTGGCATTTGGTAAGAAGGTGGCCCTTACCTCCTGCTCCTCCAGCCGGGCGGCCAGTCCCCTTCGCTCCTCCTGCAATCCCAACTGTTCTTTGTGGAGCTCCTGCACCAAGCCCTCCTGTGTGCCCAACTGCTCTTCCAGCTCCAGCACATGGGCCCTGAGGGTCCCCAACTCCTGCTGGCTCTGTTCAGCCTCGGCCTGCACCCTGGCCAACTCCCCTTCCAGGGTCCTGCACTCTGTCCCCAGGGCCCGGGCCTGTTGCTGGGCCTCCTGCAGTTGGTCCTGCAGTTGTTGGTTCTCCTGGTTCAATGTCTGAGTCCTCTCACGGAAGCACTTCAGCTGGGCATTCAGGTCACATAACTGACCCTTTAAGTCCCAGGCCGGACGTTTGGTGGGTTTCTTCCCTCCCAGCAGGGGAGGGGCAGCCGCTAAGATGGGCACGGAAAGGACAAAGGTCAGGGAGGTCGTGGCTTTCTATCTTTCCTGCCTCCTAGCCTTTAAGGCCTCCACACCCACTGCTACATCTCTCTCCCCTCCAGACAGGGAGGGAACCAAATGGATTTTTTGGGGGGTACTCACCACCTCCTCTCTTCCCTATCCCAGCCTCTCACCCAATGTTTACGCTTGGCACCTACCTGCAGGCTTCTGGGCAGGAACGGCAGGGCCTGGTTTCTGATCCTTCAACACTAGAGAATCCGGGAGTTAACATAAGAAATCACAGCACCAGTGTCTTTCCACCTCCATCATCTCCTTTTACACATACCCCCAAATCTCTCCTCAGCCCCAGCTCTGAAGCACTATTACCTGTGGCAATAGCTGTAGAACATCGGGGGCCTGTCTTCTTGGGAACTTTTGGAGCTGTCGGGAGATGGGAGAGGAAAAAGTAGCACAATCAATCTCAGGGTGGCATGAACTCTGGCTGCGACAGGCGCAGAGTCGTTGCTTTTTCTGAGGATTAGAAATAAGATAACTTCCCTCTTCCCTGAAATCTGGCCAGCTCTAAAGATATCCTTCCCAGGACCAGAAATTACTCAAGACACCAAGAAATAAGTTGGACCAAGATAAGCAAAAAGAGCAGGGGGCAGAGCCATGTGTCAAGAGCGCTACCATCTATATAAAAAAAAAACGTTGGAGAACATGTCCAGATGTGCTTGAACGCCCACAGAACGCCCTGGAAGGGACAGAACGCCCACAGAACGCCCCCGGGGAGGGGAAGTGGGTGGCTAGGGGACAGGGGTAGGAGGGAGACTTTCCTCTGTAAAATGACTTTTGTGCCTTTGGAATTTGGAGGGGGTGTGGAGAGGGAGAGGGAGAGAAAGAATCCCAAGCAGGCTCCACGCCCATAGTGGAGCCTGACTCGGGGCTGGATCTCATGATCCTGAGATCATGACTTGAGGCAAAAGCAAGAGTCAGATGCTTAATCCACCGAGCCACCCAGGCACCCCTTGTGCCTTTGGAATTTTAAAACAAGTGAAACCTATTACCTATTCAAAATAAGCTAAAATTGAAAGACAAGAAATAAGTGAGTTGAAGAGCACTGGACTTCTATTCCCTTGGTTTCCGCCCACTGCTAGAACCCACCTGTGGTCTGGCCTTGTGTCTGTGGTCTTGCAGTGAGGGCTGGTGCTCTGGGGTGGGACGTGGCCATTTTGGTCACTGTGTCCAGTCCTCGTGTCCTTTTCTGGAGATAGACAAGAATGGGGTACATTTACTCTCCCTGATTGGTTTAGACACACACACTCTCTCTCTCTTTCACACACACACACACACACACACACACACACACGTAAAGCTTTTCCAAACCCAGCTCACCTTCTCAGGCTCTAAGGCATCCTCCATCTGGTCAGGCCCCCTCTTAAACCTGGTTCCCGGTAGAGGCAGCCGAGAAGGAGCCTTGACCAGGGGCCTCTTCAGCTCTACGTTCCCCTTCCCCCTCACTTCCAACAAGGGGGACCTCTGCTGGGAAAAGAGAGACCCTTCAGACATAGCCTGGAGCACAAATGTCCCAAGAACTCCCCTTCTAAGTCCCCTAGCCTAATTCTCAACCACCAACAAGCGCTGATTGAGTACCTCTTGTGCACAAACCGGGGCCCACAGATGATGTGCCAGCCAAAAGGCACAGAGAGAAGTGGGACATAATGCAAAAGTGGGAGAAAGCTCTAAGGGAAAAGCTGGACAGATGCTGAACTTCAGCAAAGTTTAAGGGTAGTACTTTTTTTTTTTTTTTTTTAAGATTTTCTTTATTTATTTGACAGAGAGAGCATGCACAAGAGAGGGGAAGTGGCAGGCAGAGGGAGAGGGAGAAGCAGGCTCCCCGCTGAGCAAGGAGCCTGGTACCAAGCTCGATCCCAGGACCCCCGGATCCTGACCTGAGCCAAAGGCAGACACTCAACCAGCTGAGCCACCCAGGCATCCCAAGGGTAGTACTTAAACAAGCACAGAGAAATGGATACTTTCTTCAGAAGGCAAAACCTCAAACATACACATAATATGGCTGGGAAACCAATAGGCTCTTTCAGCTAGAATGGAGAATCATAAATAAGAGAGAGAGTGGAAGATAGATAAGGCTGAAGACTAGATAGGAGGAGCAGGTAATATTTTACTTATTTAAAAAACAAATTTTTTTTAGAGAGGGAGAGAGAGAATCTTACACAGGCTCCACACCCAGCCCAAGCACCCTGTGGGGCTCGATCTCATGACCCTGAGATCATGACCTGAGCTGAAATCAAGAGTGTGATGCTCAACTGACTGAGCCACCCAGTCACCTCAAGTGGGTAACATTTTAGAATTTGTTTTAAGGGCGCCTGGGTGGCTCAGTTGGTTGAGCAACTGCCTTCAGCTCAGGTCATGATCCTGGAGTCCTGGGATCGAGTCCCGCATCGGGCTCCCTGCTCAGCGGGGAGTCTGCTTCTCCCTCTGACTCTACCCCCTCTTGGGCTCTCTCTCTCACTCTCTCTCTCTCTCAAATAAATAAATAAAATCTTAAAAATATTTTTTTGTTTTAAATGCTTCCTCTGTATCAACTTAATCCTTACAGCAGCCCACTGAGGAGGTGCTATTATTAGCCTCATTTCGCAGATGAGGGAAAGGAAGGCACTGGGAGGTAAAACAGCTTGTCTAAGGTCATCAGTGAGCAAAAGGCAGAGCCGCAGTTACAAGCTAGACAGTCTGGTTCTGGAGGCCATGCGTTTAACTGCTAGAATATAGTGACCCGTAGGACTTTGATGCCAGGCTAAGAAGGAGTTTAGGCTTTAGCTTTGTGTATGTGGAAAACCAGATCCAGTTTCTGATCAGGCATGTGAAAAATATACAAAAGAGCCTATTTATAAAAAATAATGAGTTGTACGCAGGCTGACTTGCATGGAGAAGACTAAGAAGCAGCATGACCCAGTGTGGAGACCACCAAAGTACAGATGCGGGGTGGGGGCAGTGTGAGAGAGAGATCCTCTCCTAAGCACCTCAATTCGGTGCCTGGAGATTATGTCCACTCCACGGCTACTCCTGTCTAGGGTGACCAACCATTCTAGTTTGCGCAGAACTAACGGGTTTCTGAGGACACGGAACTTCGCCGTGCTAAAGCCAGGTCCTTCCTATGCAAACCCTACTCTGATCTCACCATCAAGAGAGCACTATGTAGATTGATCAACTTCTGATCTTCACTATAATTAACTTTTAATTCCAAAGCCAGTGTCTCTGCCCTTTGGCTTCCTTCCTTCCTTCATTCATTCAATATTTACTTAGTGCTTGTTATGTGCCAGAAAATGATCTGGGTTTGGGAGTAATAGATGTGATCCCTGCCTGCAAAATACTCATGAAAAAATGCGGGGACGCCTGGGTGGCTCAGATGGTTAAGCATCTGCCTTCGGCTCAGGTCATGATCCCAGGGTCCTGGGATCGAGTCCCGCATTGGGCTCCCTGCTCCTTGGGAGCCTGCTTCTCCCTCTGCTTCTCTCTCTCTCTCCCTCCCTCTCTCTCTCCCTCTGTCTCTCATGAATAAATAAATAAAATCTTTAAAAAAAAAATGGGGAAGAGAAGCATTTAAAGAGATTATTAAAACTTTACTGAATGCTATCATAGAAAGTGCCCCAAGGAGGGGATGAGCATGTAGTTCAATGGGGAGAGTGTTAGAGAACACTTCTAAAAGGTCTTTTAAGGCAAAACCTTGATGATGAGAAAGAGTTAGCCAGGGGGCTTAGGCCAAGGAAGAACATCCCAGGCAGAAAGCAAGGAGGGGTGCATGCAAGGAATGTCAAGTTGTTCTGTTTAGCTGACACACGGAGTGTGCGCGGAAAGTGGGGAGATGAAGGGAAAGGATTGTGGCAGTCAGCATGCCATGATAAGGAGTCTAGCGTTTACTGAAGGCAAGAGGGACCATGATGATTTTGTCAGAATAGTAAGACAAGATTTGTACCACAGAAGCAACGTGAAACAAGGTGAAGAATGAATGGAGGTAGATGAGGGGTATGACAGGCAGAAAGAATGCATCATTCCTTTCTTCCTTCATCCAACAAGGATTTGTTGCACTAAGATTTGTTGCAAGACTGCTCTGTCCCAGACACTGTTCTAGAAGCTGGGGTGAGAGTAATGAATAAAATCCCTGCCCTCCCAGAGGTAACTTTACAGGGCATTCTTTCCAAACTGGAGTACCACAGAAGAATTAAACTCTACAAAAAATGATCCACTTTCTCAATTCTCCATTCTAGATGCATAAGACAGAAGTTAATTCATTAGATAAGATGCATAGAGCTTAATTTTCATGGAACTCAGCCGAGAGGGGCTGTTTTAGGAGTTTGAGGGCTAAGTAGAAATCCATCTGAGAGAGGGTGGGCAGTGGGGATGAAGAGGAGGGGCTGGATTACTAGAAACCAAGTATTGATCTAACTAGGAGCTGGCCTGGTGAGGGGAGGTAAAGGGCAGGCAGTGAGGGAGATGGAGGAGTCCAGGCTGATTCCAAGATGCCTGCCACAGTTCCAAAAACCAAGAGAACAGGAGGAAGGGCTGGTTTTTCCTTTTTTGAAAAAATTTATTTGGGGTGCCTGGATGGCTCAGTCAGTTGAGTGTCCGCCTTTGGCTTGGGTCATGATCCTGGAGTCCTGGGATCCAGCCCCGCATTGAGCTCCCTGCTCAGCCTACTTCTCTCTGTCCCTCTGCTGCTCCACCACCTCCCGCTTGTGTGCTCTGTCAAATAAATAAATATTTTTAAAAAATGTATTTTGAGAGAGAGAGTGCACTCGAGTAGGGAGAGGGGCCGAGGGAGAGAATCTTCAAGCTGACTCCCTGCTGAGTGCAGAGCCCTACAATGGGGCTTGATCTCATGACCCATGAGATCATGACCTGAGCCAAAACCAAGAGTTGGCCGCTTAACTGACTGAGCCACCCAGGCGCCCTTATTCTTTTGTTTTTTTATTAAACTTTTTATTTAAAACTCATTGCAGATCCATATGAAGTTGTTAAGAAACAACATGGAGAGATTCCAAATACAACGAGATATATTTAAGGATGTTTACAGTGTATCCCTATAGAGAAAACTCTGGAACAATTTGATGCCCAGATTTTTTAAATTTTAGTTTATTGGTTTATTGTCTTTCCTTACTTTAGATTGTGAGCATCATAAGAACATATCTGTTTTGTTCACAACTATATAACCAGTATAATGTCTGCTACATGACAGGACTCAATACATTTTTAAAGGAATGAAATTGGATGTCCACCGGTGGGGGAATACTTAAATAAACTGTGATATATCCAGACCACTGGTTTCTATACAAATTAAAAAAAAAAAAAAAAGGAGGTGGCATTATTTTCCCTGCTGCCTGCAGAAATGTGCACAAAGAATAGAGTTATATAACTTATGACACATTTCCCATCTCCCCATAGAATGACAGCTTCTCATAGAATGACATCTATGGAGATGACAGGGATTAGCCTTGTTTATTGTTGCATCCCAAGTTATCTACAACTGTGCCTGGTACATAGTAGGTGCTCAGTAAATATGAGAAGCCTACTCTTTTTCACTGTCACAATCATACTGCTCTGCTCTTTAGCTGACAGGATACAGAGAACATCTATTCAGGTTGAAATTTGTTTTGGGTAAATTTGAATGTGAAATACTAGTAAACAAATGATCCAGACAGGAGCCTTTTTCTGGCACCAAAAGTCAATACACTCTCGCTGTCACATCTCTCTCCCCACTGGAGAGGGGAGGCTGCAGTTGGTTGTGGGGTGCAGCAGGGCGCTGATAAGAGAAGAAACTTAAATCAAACCAGTCTCAGGAGGCAGAGATCCCTGTAAAACCTGGAGAAGGAGAGAGAATGAGGAGTCCTTCCGTTCAGGTTACCCCAATCCCTTTATCCCCTTCCAGCACTCCAAAGCGACGGGACCAAGAGAGAACTGGAAAGATCATCAACGGGGATTTGGCCTCAGGCACCATTACCCCAGCGGTAGACGGAATTTCAGAACTCCCCCTTCTCGATCACACACTGCAATCGTCGGTAGGAATGGAGAAATAGGTACGAGTCAGATAAGCCTGAGAAATCGAAATGGGAAATCCTGGAGACATGAAAGTGAGGAAGGGTGTATGGTACTCCCTGAAATTGGGGGAGGGCAGGCAGACATGCACTCCGACTTCCTGGGGCTGCTCCCCGCCCTCTCCCTCCCTCCTGTCCACTGTGCGGGGACGCACGGACTTTCACCCTCTGAGCAGGCACGACCAAGGCCGGCCGGGATCCGGGGGCTCGTCAGCATCGTGGGCAGGAGACCCAACGCGGCTTCTACTCACCTGCGGCTCCATGTCCAGTTCCGTGCCACACGCGCCAGGGGAGCACAATGGAAGAGGACACGGCGCCGGGGCTCCCGGGACCCGCGTTCTCTCGCCGGCTCGCGACACAAAGCACGCGCCCTCCGGGCTCCGGTGGCTACCAGCCCGGTGCCACACCCGCCACTTTTGAATTCCAACCGCCGCCACCTTTCTCACCTCCCTCCGCAAGCAAGGGCCAATCGTCGCCGGCGCCACAGCCGAGGGCCAATCGAAGCGCCCTCCGCCTCCCGAGGCCACACCCCGCCAGGCCGGCACCTTCTCCTTCCCGCTTAGCGGGCGACCGGGAGGCTGGCTAGTCGGTCACACTTCCGGCTCCACTTCCACCTCTCTCACCCTCCCCTCCCGTAGCCGTCGTCGCGCTGCACTTCCGCTCGGCTCCTAGCTGCAGCGCCTTACGTCAGAAAATGCTGTAACGCGCCGCACGAACGTAGCTAGAATGGGGGCGGGAGCGCTGGAGGAAAGTAATCACGCGTGCGCAAACGGGGACGCGACGAGCCCCAGCGCCCCCCCCCCCCCAGCGACTGCAGGAGGGAGCGCACTCGTTACCCCCGACTGGATCATCGTGATTGCGGTTGGTGGCGCGGCGCCTCTCCGCGGAGTTGAACTCCCGGTAAAGCTCCGGGAGAGTGGTAGCAGGAGCCCTCCCGCGAATGTGGGAGTGGCCGCGTCTGCCCCTTCCCCAGTCATTTTGGCATTTTTCACCAGACTTAGGGATGTTGGGTACAGCTTGGCGCTCCTGGAAGCCCGACAGTGGGGATTCGAGGCTCAGAGGAGTTTTTTCTGCAGTCCCCCTCATCAGCCTACCTACTAGGTACCAGGGCGCTGATACTGGTGCTGGGGAGCTGGCTTAGGGCCTACGGAGCCTCGAACCCACGGACTGTATACTGCTTACATTTATGGAATATTTTATGCTTTTCAGGCTGTCTGCATGTGCATTATCTCTTTTAATAATCGCTAAATTCACTGAACTCTTACCATGTGTCGAGTGTTTTGCATCTTTTATCTGCAAGCTGGACGAAGGAGGCAGGTTTAGAAAGGTTAAGTAACAAGCACAAGGTCACACTGCTGATTGGGAGTGGATCTAGATTCTCTTAGCTTCGAAATCCAAACTATATGTTACCTCACACTACCTCCAACAATCTTAGTGTCAAAGACATCAAACCCTTACCTGTGAGTAATTTGCAGAGTGGTTCTACCCATTTATTCGTGGGAGTTTCCAACCAACCTGGAGATGGGACAGGGATTTTATTGATGAGACTGAAAGGCAGGGGGAAATCTGTCTTGGTGCATTTTTGGAGATTGACAGAATTGGAACTCAAGCCACCTAACTTCCAATCCAGTGCTTTAACTTGAATTCAAACCTGCTTGTGGAGGGAGCAGACTGTGGGGAGACACAGAGTCTGAAAACCGGGGGTCATCCCCCAAACTTTGATAGCTTAGGAAACTTACAAAAAGCAGGAGCTTGAAAAGAAGAGAAAGAGAAGAGGAGTGAGGGAGGAAACAAGAAGACCAACACTTAATGGATGGGTAAAGAGGGAGAACTGAGAAGAAACGTAACAGCAAAAGACATTTCTCAAAGTTATAAACAAATGTTAAACTAGGGGAAATATGGACCCATCAGTACATTAAAGGAGAAACAGTTCATTCATGTCAATTGATACATAAAAACTACTCGAAATATTCATCTGTTGATATTAAAGAACACCCTATAACCTGATAAAGGACATCCTCAAAAATCCTGCAGCACACATCACAATAATGGTGAAGTGTTGAAAGCATTTCTTTTAAGATGAGAAGCCAAGGCTGCTTGCTCTCAATAACCCCAGTCAGTGCAATAATGGAAGTTTAGCCAGTCCAATAAACAACAGCAACAAATATATAAGGATTGGAAAAAAACAAGAATATCAGTATTTGTGGATGAAATTATTGTGTGTGTAGCAACCCCAAAAGAAAACTGAGATAGGATTTGTAAGTGAATTAGCAAGGATGCTGGGTACAAAATCAATATAACAAAAATCAATATACAAAACCTATTGCATTTCTATCATCAGCAATCGTCAGCATAATTTTTAAAAATATTTGCCATTTGAGGGGCACCTGGGTGGCTCAGTCAGTTAAGCGTCCCACTCTTTTTTTTTTTCTTTTAAAGATTTTATTTATGTGACAGAGAGAGACACAGCGAGAGAGGGAACACGAGCAGGGGGAGTGGGAGAGGGAGAAGCAGGCCTCCTGCTGAGCAGGGAGCCGGACGCGGGGCTCGATCCCAGGATCCCAGGACCACAACCCGAGCAGAAAGCAGAAGCCCAACGACTGAGCCACCCAGGTGCCCCAAGCGCCCCACTCTTGATTTCAGCTCAAGTCATGATCTCAGGGTTGTAAGGTCGAGCCCTGCGTTGGGCTCTGCACTCACTGGGGAGTCTGCTTGAGATTTTCTCTCTTCCTCTCCCTCTGCCCCCCTCCCCACACGCATGCCTTCTCTCTCTCTATCAAATAAGTAAATAAATCTTTTTGATTTATTTTAAAACATTTTATGAAAAACTTTATTTATTTGATAGAGAGCACAGCAGGGGGAGAGGCAGAGGGAGAGGGAGAGGCAGGCTCCTGCAGGGAGCCCGATGTGGGGCTCGATCCCAGGACCCTGGGATCATGACCTGAGCCGAAGACAGACGCTTAACGGACTGAGCCACCCAGGTGCCCCTAAATAAATCTTTAAAAATATTTGCCATTTGGGTACATGAACATATACATATATAAAAGTCAAGGTGTACACTTGATTTGTGCACTTTATGTTAGGTTGAGATAAACATTTTAATAAAAATATACCATTTGCAATAGCAACAAAAATATAAAGTACTTGAGAATAAATTTAACAATAGGTGTGCAGGCCTTTGTGGATAAAATGATAAAGCTTTATTGAAAGATATTGATGAAAATTTAAATTAATGGAAAGAGGGCGCCTGGGTGGCTCAAATGGTTAAGCGTCCGCCTTCAACTCAGGTCATGATCCCAGGGTCCTGGGATCAAGGCCCACATCAGGCTCCTGGCTTGGCGGGGAGCCTGCCCCTCCCCCTGTTCATGCTGTCTCTCTCTCTCTCTCTCTCTCTATCTCTGTGTCTCAAATGAATAAATAAAATCTTTAAAAAATTTAAAAAATAAATTAATGGAAAGGCATACTATGTGCTTACAGAGAAAGACTTGATATTATAAAGATGGCAGTTCTCCCCACGACCTTGATGTTGGGCCAAGGGGGACAATAAGAGTTCTCCATGCCTAGTCTTGGTAGAGTCTCACCCATCTGCTCATCTCAGGAGCAGGCTGAGTGGAACTGCCTTTGGTAGTCCTTTACTCCTCCTCTGAGATTTCCTCCTGCAAGCTGGGGAGGATTTTTTACCTTTGAAATCACATTCCTGAAACCCTCATCCCTTCCTCCCCCTGCTTCTCTTTCTGGCTTGTCTGGCAGGTTCCTTTTTTCTTGCCCAGCCCCTTGCAAACCTCTCCACAGATGGAAAGGTGTACAGTAAAGTTACCTGGATTGTCTAAAAGATGTCAACCCTCATCCCCCCATCCTACCCCAGCAAATTCTTGTGTTCACTCTCCTGGAAGGTATATTACTTGGGCCCTGACCCTTGCAGGTATTTTGCCTCTGTTACCTTTGCCCACAAAATTGGTTGTCACTACCTTGATCCTCAGACCCCTTGTTCTCAGAGTAGGGTGATGATTGAACAATTCTGTGACTATGCTAAAAACCACTGATTTGTACACTTTAAAAGATGAATTTCATTTCTTAAAACTATTATGAAAAGCTTTAATAGGTCCTTCAGTTTTCAAGTACAATTCATTCAACATTTCTGAAGTGCCCACTCATGTCATACCCTGTGCTAGGCTTTGATGAAGACAAACATAATCTCTTTCCTCTCAGAGCTTCCAGTTTGGGAGTGAAGGGGAGACAGACAATAAAATATTACCATGTGGCAAAAGGAAGACAAGTGCTGTTAGATCACCTTTCTCAGAAGTGAGGAGTTGAAGAAAGATTTCCCGAGGAAGAGCTCATCTCGGCTGTGAGCAATGAGATAAGTAAGCATGCGGAAAGAGCAGCTTCCATCTTGACAGGAGTGGAGATGTGGTTACAGGCCAGGAGCTAAGGTCCCAAAGGATGGGTCTAGTTCTGTGGGTCTGAGAGGACCCAGCCAGAGGTGGTTGATTTCCCCCAAAATTGTTCTCCCTTTATCCCAGAGTGTTATTTGGTAACACAACCAAGGCATAGATAGTTACCAGTTCTGTGAGGGGGAGACCCGCTCATTTCCACAGGAAGTCATGGGAAGGAGTAGGTTTTGTGGTTTATTCTGGAGAGGAAGGCCTCCAGTTTTTCCCAGAGCATTCCAGCACTGCGGTGGCTCCCGGGGCCTTGTCTATAGGCTCTAGGGGAAAGGGTGCAGAGGAGCTCTCCAGGGGCCCTTACACACTCACCTCCTGAAAACACAGCGGAGGAGGAGCCCTATTCCAGGCCACTTGCCCCAAATCCACAAGTGACAATTATGGGTGTTTCTTCAGGTACAGAGATTTGAGTAGCCCGTGGTAGAAGAACATAACTACCATTAGGTCTGAGGTGCGCTATCAGCCTCTTGTCCTCCAAGGAAAGAAGTATTTGGAGTCGGAGAAAAACCTCCATATTGTCTGGGCTGAGCAGGAAGTGAAGACCAGGCAATTCAAAGCGTGCCAGGGCAGGGGAGAGTACTTTTACATTTTGTACCATACAAATACCTTCCACAATTAGATAAAAAGAATGAAAAGAAAATGAATGAAATATGTGTCAAAATGGCACCCCCATACATAATTGCGGGGAGTATAAATTGGTACTTCTTTCCTAGAAGTTTAGGAAACTCCAAAATACTGACACCTCTTAAAGTAACACTCTAAGAATTTAGTTTAAGGAAATAATCAGAAATGCGCACAAAAATTTACAAAAATAAAGTGTGCCAACAACCAAAATTTCCACCAGTGGATGATTATTTTTTTTAAATTTCTTTTTTAATTTTAAGTAGGCTCTACACCCAATGTGAGGCTTGAACTCACAACCCTGAAATCAAGAGTTACATGAGTTACAAGAGTTATATAGTTTTGA